CTACTTAGCTTCCAAGATCAGATGAGATCGGGCACATTCAGGCTGGTATGGCTGTAGACTGGGTAGGGATGCTTACAGTGATAATGGATGCATCTTTCTGGAGGTGTCCGTTGTTTATTGAGTAGGTATATATTGGGCATATACTTATGTTAAAACTGACTTTTGCCAGGTAAGTTAGAATCAGTCCCCAAGGAGCTTATGTTACTTTGTGAAATACTTGTTTTTAGGTATGTTTGATTGTGATATGCACTAGAAGCATTTTTTCCTATTATACTTCAAGTTAACTATTGCCACAAGTTGTTTTACAGTAGGATATATAGCTTTTAATCATTTTGAGAGCAAGTGGCTTAAAGAAAGCAGTGATGACAAAATGCTAACCATAGTATCTTCAAGAACTGTTCATGATTAATGTAGTTCTTGTCTTTTAGAGCAAAGGCACAACTCCTCTTGCTCCACCACCTAAACCTGTTCGAAGAAGACTAAAATCAGAAGATGAGTTAAGGCCAGACGTTGATGAACACACACAAAAGACAGGTGTCTTAGCTGCTGTTCTTGCAGCACAGCCTTCTATTCCCAGGTAATGAAAGTTATTCCTAAACACATTTAGTTAGTAGACACAAAAAGCACAATGAGAAACACTCAGCTGAAAGAAACCAGTAGTCAGACTAATTCTTTGGTTGCGCGTAAGTTCTGAAAGAGCTTTTTTGTTTCTGTGGAGGTGAAATATTCCTCCCATTTTTTCCTCCCTTCAACTGCAGTTCCGTTTAATACCCTATTGTAAGGAAAACCAGCAGTTTCTAAAAGTTGATAATGTAGAATTACACTGATATTTTAATTAGGGTTGTCTTAGAGCGGGATTTAGCAAATCAAGACTCCTGTGCAAAATTTGGCCCATTTTCTACTCTTGTGTGGTCCACGTGGTACATTTCTGTAAAACAGAAGCAAAGGGGGGGAAAAAATAGAATACACAACTGAAAGTGTGGCATGCAAAGGCTAGGTGTTAATCTAGCTACTTACAGAAAAAGTTCCCCAGTGCCTCCTCTAAATTATTTAACTTAAAATTCAGGTATGTAATGGTAATTAGAACAATGACAACATTGACCTTAAGCTTCAGAAGCTCAGATGCTTTTGGTTGCCTTCCAAAATGAACAAATGAGGTTGGAGTGTGCTAATAATAGGGGAAGAGGCACTCCCTCTCACCGTGTGCTTGGAATTACATCAGGAGGGCTGGGGATTTAGCTCAGCGGCATAAGCACCTGCCTTGCAAGCAGACAGTCGTGAGTTCGATCCCCAGTACCGATAAAAAGGAAAAAGACAAAAAAAAAAGGAATTACATCAGGAGAAAATGAAGAGAATTGAAAGAAATACAGGTTGTGTTTTTTGTCCCTTTTATCTCTTCAGATCTGCTGGGAAAGACAAGAAAGCTATTCAGGCATCGATTAGGCGCAATAAGGAGACCAACACAGTTTTGGCCAGATTGAATAGTGAATTGCAGCAACAGTTAAAGGTAATGCTTTCTGAATCTTTGCAGAGGAGAGTTTGTGGGCATGGAGGATCTGGGACTGCGAGAAAGCTCAAGGTGATCCAGCAATTCTTACATTTATGTAAAAACTTGTCTCATAGCAGGAGAAATACATTACTAAAATGATTGGATGGCCCACTGTCTTTTTTCAGTATTAAAAGAAATGTTTTAAACAGTTCTGATATATTCTTGTATCTTACATATATAAAAAGACATCACAATTCCTATAGTATGTGACTTTCATAAAAAAACTTAAATGTTGTGGCCTTGGGTAGCTCCAAGATTAAATACATGACTTTACATTCTTGTAATTTGTACACTGACTGCTGTCTGTTTATCTTTTTATCAAAGACAATCTAGATTTTATTAAAGGAACTTAAATCGGTCTAAAGAAGAAAGGGCTATGGACAATTTAGATCATCTTACATGAGGAAAAAAAAAGACCTACATAACAATAGTATTTCCATACAGTGTATTCCACCATCTGATAATTGGGAAGAATGAGTTTGTTTTCCCACTGTTAACCTTGTTATTTAAGTCCTTAAATTATGCCCAGATCACTTTTATTATTTCACTCATGTTATTTGTGCCTTAGAAACCTTTGGTTCTCAGACTTTATGCATAGATCTCTGGGATCATATTAAAATGCAGGTTCTGCTTTAGTAGGTCTGGGGCAAGACTTGAGAATGCTACCTTTCTAATAAACTACTGTTGGCCTCACTTTATATAACAAGGTTTTAAACCACAAAAATGAGAAAAGAATCCATAAAAATATAAAATGAATGCATTTATTCCCATAAAATCATGTTCCTATCCCTCATCTATGATTTACCACAGTGCGTTGGAATTATTATTTATTATACATTCCTCTGTGTCCCACTAAGCTGAACTCTGAGAGCTAAACTCTGTTTAGGATAGCCATATAGTATATTGCCTAAACCAAGATTCTTTTTAGTGAAAAGAAGGAGGTTATGTTAACATTTAGACCAAGCAAGTGTAACCTGGGACTGTCTTAGATAAATTGTAGCCATGCTGTCTCTGTCTGCAAAGCCTTGCATATATTAGGCCCTTGATAAATGTCTCATGAATGAAAGACATTCTTATAGAATTCTTCAACTACAGTAGGAAGCATTTGTAGTTGTCAGATGATTATGAATTTGGTCCATCATAAAGGAAGAATGTGAAATTTAAGGACAAACTTGCCTAGTGTCATGCCTTTAAAATGAGTTTTGTTGGGGCTGGGGATTTAGCTCAGCGGCATAAGTGCCTGCCTTGCTAGCAGGCAGTCGTGAGTTCGATCCCCGGTACCGGTAAAAAACGAAAAAGATAAAATGAGTTTTGTTGTGCCGTGTTCTGTTGTTTGTCTGTCTGTTTTTGAAGAACTAGGGAAACCATAGAAATAAATATATAAAAACTATTTTGAAAATTATTTTAGAAAATAGGAATAAAAATACCAGATGAGGTCATTCTTGTTAAAACAAGACACTATCAGTATGAAAAAGGAAAAGAGAAAGTAAGCACATTGTGGCTTTCTGAAAAGATTCCTTAAAATCAGCAGTGATTAAAAAATTCTGACTGCAGCCAGGTGCAGTGGTGCACACTTGCACTTCTAGTTATTTGTGAGGTTGAGACACAAGGATCCTAAGTTCAAGGCCAGCCTGGGCAGCTTGAGGGAGACCCTGTCTGAGATAAAAAGGTGTAGCTTAGTAGTAGACCACTTGCCTGGCATGCACAAGTTTCTGGGTTCAGTCTCCAGCGCCATACCCACACACACACTCAATTCTGACTGAAAAAATGCATTTTTTATTTATAGAAATGAAACTCAAAATGAGATTCACGAGTTGCTTTAACCACATATATCGTTTGGGGAAAAATCTTAAGTTGACTGATTTACCCATAGTTAACTGATTTATCTATAGTTAGGGACAAAAAGCGAAATTCATGTATTAATGCCCATCTGTTGCAAATGTTGGCTTTTCTAATAGCCTAAAAACATTGTTACCTAATTTATGTAATACAAAAAAGTTAAGTTACTGTAGTCATGTTTTCATATTAATGTATAGGGAAACTGTTTTTTAAAGTGAAATATATTTTTAAAATATGAATAGCACAAGTCCTTTAGTCTTCTTCACAAATATTGTTTTCTTGAAGTAGAGTTGTTATTAAAAGTAACTTTATTTTTATATACTTAGAAACATAACTTTTACATCTTTTTCAGGATGTTCTTGAAGAGAGAATTTCCCTGGAAGTTCAACTGGAACAACTTCGACCGTTCTCTCACCTATAAGCCAATTGCCGTTAACTGTGAACATGCCCATTTTTAAGCGGTTTGGGGTTGGAAGCCAATTTGGAGACCCAGACATTCAGCTCACTGCTTAAGTCGACATTAAATTTTATGATTCTGTTTTGCCCTATATGTTCACTGTTGTATTTAAGTATCTTTTATTTTTTAATTTCAACAATAAAGGGTCAGGATTACTTTTTCTGGAAGGTATACTGTGTTTGTCGGCATGCCGCATCTGTGCTGTTCTGTAGGGTTAGGGGTGTATAATATGTGTCATTGTATTTATGTGACCAGAACCGGACTCGTTTGATTTATATTGAACTCTTCATTTATAGCTCAAGCACAAATTCAGAAATCTTTGAAAGGAAAATTATAATGTCAGTTTTTCTTCTTTAGGTTTAATAATCTATGCAAAAATTTATATTCTGTAAAAAGCATTAAAATAAGTTTGCTATCTACCTTTGTATTTTAGAGAACTACGTTATAAGACAGTTTTCACCAGAAGCTAATGTACCAGAAGAGTCTTTCCCCTGTGTAGTAATCAGCATCTTCAGGAGTCACATGATACTTCAAGCTTCTTTTACATACCATATTGGGGGACCAGCTTTATATTTTCCTTATTGCAGTTTGATCAGTTTCATCAGTGACTGTTGTGTGTCTGTCTGTGTCTGTATGTACATGCACACAGGTGTGTGATTTTAATTCAGCAGTCAGGTAGCTATGAAGACAAGTCTTAAGTGTTCCCTCAAATTGAAGGGAAAGAAGTGCGAAATCACACACTACCCACTAGGAAACATTGCAACTTTCGTGTCCTTTTGTGTTTCTGAGGACCTCAGTTATTCCCAGAAAAAATGGCAGTTCCCCAAGATTTCTAGTTTACCTTTAAGCTAGCTTCTTACTCATTCTTTTGTTGTATAAGCAGTTTTTCCTATTAATGGAGGCTCTCAAGTGTTCCCTAGTCAGGATAAAATACTGCTTTAGGATTTTATATATTATACATTTTGATCACATTTGTGAAAGGTACATTCCTTGCTGAGTGACAGCAGATAACGCCCTTTAAAGTTTGTTTTGTGGGATCAGTTGTTAAATTGCACGGATATATCTTAATAGAATCAGAAATGTGATTTTACACTAATAGTACAATGTTTTTTATTTTTGTGTATTTATAACAAGATTTTAGAGAATCAGAAGGAATTTATAGTTTCATTGGTGAAAGATTTATTCAGGTAGCTCAGTTCCACAATCCTAGATTGTACCCAATATATTTTAATACTTTAAGATATTTACAAAAACAAAACAAAAATGAAATGGGCAACCTAAAGCTTCCAAGACTAATGTGTTATCTTTTTGATAGCATTATCTAGGTAAAAATATTACTACTGCATACATCATCTCGTTTCCAAGTGATAAACAGGTCACAGTTGCAGTTTATTACAAGTCACAGACTTTGACATACTAATGACAGGGCTACAATGTATATGTCTTCCTGTCCAGTGGTTCTGCATGCATGACTGTCCTGTCAGGCAGCATGGGCAGTCATGCATCTACCAAAAGTGGTCCAAGCTGGCAGGGCCATGTCCAGGAAGTTTATTTTTGTATTTTAAAAATTTCATTTTCCCCACTGGCCTTCTAATTTAAATATCAAGAGAACTTTAAAGTTTCTTATTTGTAAGGTCTAACAGTTCAGTTTTGCAGCAAAATATATATGTGTGTGTATATATAAAACTTTTTAATTCTTTGTAGTATAATTTTAATGCTCTCTAGAGAAGTACGTTCATATTAACAATACTTGACAGGTATTTAAGAAAATTGCCATTTATAGTGACCATTAATTGTTTCATGAAAATTTTAAAGATAATTGATTTTTTTTTAGACTGGTCATTTAATATTTTTTGTTTTGGCTTTATTTTTCATGAGATTTTTTTTTTAAAACTTCACACAATTTGCTTGTTCTCCTAGAATTTCCCATTTCAAATTATTTTAAATAATATTATTCATGAAAAACAACTACCACAAAAAAGTGGTTCAAACTTTTAGACTCATTGTTCTTATACATTCTGCATAACTTCATCAGGATAAGGTTTAAGCCTTGTGCTGTGTCCTAGTTCATGCTGTCATCATCTGTGACAATCATTCTGCTTCTCACGGGATGTTCTAGAACAAAATATACATCCGCTCTTGTCAGAGAGAACTGGTGTTCCTGATGTTTTCTTGCAGTCCACTCTCACTTCTCCATGCTGCTTCGGATTGCTCTTTTGAGTACTGATAACCAGAGGAATTTATCATCCTCCACCTCAGTAGCACAAATCCACTCACGTTTCGGACCTTGAAGAATAAATGCATTCTTGACATCTGTAAAAGTATTTTAGGTACATTAATTATAATCTCTGCAAGTGATAACCAAAAAGAAAGATGTTTTAAAATGAGGCAGGAGGCAGGAAGATCGTGTTTGAGCCCAAGTTAGACAACTTAACTTAAGTGAGACCCTGTCTCAAAATTTAAAATGAACTGGAGATATATCAGCACAAAGGCTGTAGGTTCAGCCCCCAGTACCAGGAAAAAAATTAATTGACCAGTTCATCTTTTAAGAATTTCTTGAAACCTAAAAACAAGGATTCAAAACAAGTACATGTCCAGTTAGGATATAACTTTCTAAAATAACTGAATTCAAATACAATTAAAATAATCTTGTCCTTATATGATTAGCAGTTATTTTAAAGACCAAACAATAGACCACGTGATGTTCCTTAATTCCTTATCTCAGTCATTTCAGAATGAACTAGAACCGATAAGGATCTTTACTAATAGTTACAGCAATATCCCTGTTGTTGGATGGCTTCAAGCACAAACCTAATACATAAGCAGCAAAGTTTCAAAAAAAAATCTATGGTGTTTTTAACTTTGCTCCATGGTTGAAAATCCAACTTGGAAAAAACCAGTACAGGTTGGGAGTGACATGTGGGGCCTCCCTGCACACACAAGGGTGACACCTAGTCTAAGCACTGCTCTCAGCTGAGCACCACATAGTGCTTGTGGTAAAACATTCACCATTATGAGATTTTTTTGGTCATTTATTTGCATAAAATAACCGTAGCTCCAAAGAAAGTTAACGATACTAGCAGTAAAGCTAAGAGGTAAATTGTGAGACCCGCGATGGAGTTAATCATTGTGGAATTTGTTAAAAGTCCAGGCAAAATTTGTAAGTTTAATGTTTGGACCTCAGAACCAATTATGTGGTTTTTCATATTTCTTACAGGAAAAATATGTTCAGTTCTTGAGATTTTTGATGTTTGAACACAAATTTGGGATGAATTATGTTCACAACCAAAGTGTCACTGTATTGTAGTTAAGAGATGCCAAGACCTAGACCTAGACACCCTGGTACAAGGGCCAGTGATGGCCAGATGCTGCCAGCAGGTTATGTGATATTGTCGTAAGAGCATAGTGATTATTAGTGGGAGGGGAACTGTAGAGAAGCAACATGTTTCATGCATTAACCGTATTCAATAGCGATGTATAATTCTTTTACTCAGGATTACTTTCCTGCAGATGTAATCTCAACAAATACTTGTCCCCCCCACTTGGTGTTCATTTTTTTCAGGCTCAGATTTAGATGGGCCTGAAGATACTTGGAAGCCAACTTTTTATTTAGATGAGTTCCTTCTCTAAGGTCTTGGTTCCTGCTTCAGCCTGAAGTCCTATTTTTACATGCAGTGAAAACTACTGGAATGAGGGATATTACATCCTGATTGATCTAACAAATGCAAGAAATAGATACAGATCCTTTTAAGCTTGGGAAGTAGCAGAATGATGACTAAAGTCACAATAGGTTTAAGTAGGATTCGCTTTGTGGTAAGTGGTATTTCTGTTGGAATTATGAAATGGCTAAATTATTAAGAATCCTTTGTAAATCTGTTGATTCCTTTATAGAAAAACTCTCATTTTAAATGTGAGTTTCAGGAAGAAAATGAATGATCACATCTGAAATGACCACTTAGTCCTAGTAGAATAGAAACAGTAGATAGTAAATTAATGGGTATTAATAGATTAAAATTAAAATCGTGCTTTAAACTTCTGAGATCTTTAGACGGTGGACAGTACTCAAGCCCTCAGGTCAAGCTGCTTCAAAGAATTGCTTGTGATTGTGTGGAGTTTCCCACCTCTGATTTCAAAAACCTTCCTAATTCCTAGGGCTGTCTGATGGTGCCATCCTTCCTTTTGCTATGTCAGAGGTAGCTCACAGTGCCATGAAATCCTGATGTTTAAAGGAGTACTTCTGCGTTGTCAATTTATAATTCCAGTCCTTTTGCTACTTTCCTATTTTATAATGAGCTTAATAGAAAACATCTTCATAAAGATCCTTGTCTCTTGAAGGAAAACCGTACATACACTTGGAATCCGGGATATCTTTGATGAGTAACCTGTGAAGGGCCACTGATGCAGTGAACTGGTAGGTGGTTTTTGAAGTCCTTTCAAATGGAGTGTGAGATGTGCCCCGGCTGGAAATAAGCAGGGCATCACTGAGGAGGAAGAGGGTGAGGTCGCGGGTTTGTTCGTAGACCCTGTGTTGAAGTGGAGGAGAGTTGACAGTCACACATGCGTGCTTTGTTAAAAGGTTAATCATCTTTAAGGCACTAAGCCTATGGCTGAGACTACTCATTCCACTACAAACCACTGGAGTGAGCTTGGAGTAACATTTTCCTTGAGGTATGATTAACCCCTGGTGGACAGATACCTCGTTACCAGCGTGGGCAAAAGGACCATTGATCTTTCTTTCCTTTAGGAAGTGAATTATGGCTCTGTAAACATTTTATCAAGAAAAAATACCATGCTAGATGTTTTTGGGTAGTCTGAGGAAAGTAAGTTTAATTCATCTCTAGGAATTGACAGATGGGGTAGAAAAACCCAGTGTTTTTTACATTGAATTTTCAGAGGCCTTCTTTGCCTCATTACAAGTAATGACAGCAAAATAGGACACCGCTATATAAATTCTTAACTCTGTCCTAGAAGTGCTTTGTTCATGTTGTTTACTGTGTTAGCCAGCCCAGAGACAGAAAAGGATGCGATGAAGTACCTAACTTCAAACATAAAACTAAAGTTTTCAGGACACAGCCCTGGGCCTGAGCAGACATTAGGCCCTTAGCTCTGTGGCAGAGGTTGTACATTATTTGTTCAGTAATTTCTCCTGCATTAGAGTTTCTTACAGGAAAGCCCAGCTCACCTTCCTGCCTGCTGGCCTGACGAGTAACCACTCCAGTGTCTGCCCGCTGACGCCTGGCTGGGAATCCTGGGCCTGCACTTACTAGCACTTGGCTTTCGGGCAACTTGGCTTCAGTCAGATTCCCCACACACAGGTCTGTCCTGTCCATCTGACCATGTGACAGTAATGAGTTTATCGAATGAAAGAAGTCAAACAATAAATTACAAAGCCCCACATTCCTCTCAGTGCCACACATGAGTACATTTGCCCATACAAATACTCCTGATGGGAAGCATACAATGACATTTCTGAGGTTTTAAGTGACTTTCTAAAATGCCAGAAAACAAGATTGCAGGCAAAATACTGTGTGATATCCTTTGGAATGCAAGCCTTTTTGCATTTACTTAACTTCAAATACTAATTTGAAATGATATCTGTATTAGTAAATGTAACTGTAATTACCGAGAAAGTGCCTAGAGAAGGTACCTATGGTATGATATATTCTCGTCTGTTGTCCAAATACTGAAGACAAATCTTTTTTTTTTTTTCCGAACCCACCACCCCGACAAATCTACATTCTAATAACAGACTTAAGACACATGAAGAGCTTGAAACTCATCACTTCTAGTCTCGTAACAAAGAAGCTCAATGAAAAATTGAGGTCGCAGAGTAAACCACCACCCCAAAAGCAGGATAGACAGGCAGACACAGAATCCGTTTAGCTGGGATCAGTTAGGAATCCCTCTAAGGTAACTGACTCCAGCTGGAGGTTGGTTGTGGGCAGACATGCATGAGTGAAGCCTTGGCTGCTCCAACAACCGTGTGTTTTACCTCCAGAAACCCACCAGATCCTCACTAGAGAGCCCTAAGAAAAATCCCCTCATTCTTCTAGGGGTGGTGGGTATCTTGAAAGAAGAACAAGAGAGTTTTGTTCTTAACAAACACTTATTTTTGAAGGGGAACTCGGGCGGAGCCTAACCAATCTGCAAGAGGAAATACTCAGCTCCTGCCCCTGTGGCTTCCTGCAGGTAAGAAGTTCAGAAGCCTGATGCAGGTGATAGCCCAGGTGCCATAGCTCATGACAACTGAAGGGCCTGGCGCCCCATGCATGTAACTCTAGCTGCTCTGGAGGCTGAAGGAGGAGGATCTCAAGGTTGAGGCCAGCAGAAAGAGAGAGAGAAAAGGGAAAGGAAAGGAAGAAAAGAAAGAAAAAATAGTGGAATGGTAAGCAACATCAAATCAGCCTCTTCAAGATTCAGGATGCAGACACCGAAAAATAACTTGGGGAAGAAAGAAAAATGGAGGTCAATGTCTAGGGCCCTAGAAAGGTCTGACAGGAAAGTTGGAGCCTTCAGAGAAATCGAAAAACAATACAACCCAGGAATGGGAAGGGGCAAGCTGCACTTCCTCCCCAGCTCCTGGCTTGTGCCCCCACAAAGGAATCGGAATCTACAGATGGTGAAGGGGAGGGCTCCAGAGGCCATCAGGGAGAAACGGCAGTGGTACAGACCAGTGGGGTAGGGGGCTTCATTTCAGGACTCCTAGTGTTACACTCCCACAGTGACTTGGCAGGAGACTGTCACGGGAGACAGCTGCAGTCAGGGAGCTGAGGTCCATTGGCAAAGACCCCAAGAGGGGTTTTCAGCTCAGCCTGGATTTGAAAGTCACAATCGGCACCTACACCCTTATCCTGTCTGCTTGCTGGTGACTATATCCAGTGTAGATGGCCTCTGACTGCCTTATCTACCAGTGAAAACAGCTGTATCTTGAATTGGACACTGCCCCAAAACTATAGACTGCAGGACAAAGCCACATATGTGAAATTACAGAGGTTTTTGGTTTTGTTTGGTTGTTTTTGTTTATTGGGGTTTTTGTGTTTGTGTGTGTTTAGTATTTGGGGTTTGTTTTTCCCTTTTCTATTCTTACCTCCTTTTCTTCACTCGTTTCGTGAGGCTTAGGAAATCAATCTGCCTTTTTCTTTCTGTATTTTTTCCTCTTTTCCCCTTTACTCTCTGTATAATCGTTTTTCCTCCCTCTTTTTTTATCTTTATTTCTTGCCAGTTTTTTCTGTTACCTTTACCTAATTCAGTAAACATTTGTCTACTCTGCAAAAAGATCCATTGTGTCACCTCTCCTCTTCTTCGTGTCAGTGTGTTTCCTTGCATTCTCCCTTCCGGAAACCTGCATCTTTACTAGTACAACCATAAAACTTTGTTAACCTTTTTGATAGTTAACTGTAAAATTACTGTTAAGTTCTTTTCTACCATTAGCAGACATTCAGCTGTTCCATTTAGTACATATGGACCTAGACGGTAATACCTGGGTTGCCTCAATGTTTACATCATAATTGTTGATCTTTTTCTCTAGAATTACAGGGAGTATGGAATTGGGTCTTACGGTATATTAATGTTTAGTTTGTCTTGGACAGAATTGCTGTAGCTGATTGACTTGCTAGGGTCACATAATTGGTACTGTTTCCTCTGTAAGACAGCCCTCAGATTGCCTCTGTGTCATTAACACTGCTTCCATACATTCCCAGAGGACTAACTACATTACATCCGCTGCCCAAATTAACCAGGGTGGTTGGATCTTGGGACTGTGGCAAGGAATTATAACTAGCCTCACCCACATTACATCACCAAAAAGTAACTAAACAGAGCTCTATATTAGCAACAAAGTCTTAGATCAAAAGCATTCACAAATCTGAGCATAAAAACCACCCACATAAACAAAAACGGAAAAAGGCAACAAAATACCCCCTAAAACCCCAGCTTCCCTGAAGCCAATCTAGGCAGCACCAACCAGCGAGTAACAGCCACACGCCCAAGTTACTCGGAAGGACAGCTGAGGAAATTCAGAAAACAGTTTAAAGAAGTACTAAGAAGGATGACAGAAGAAACAGTGGAAGTAATAAAAACGATGGAGGAGCTTTCAGAAGACACCAATGAAAAGGCAGATGAGCTAAGCAAAGTGATACAAAACACGACGGACCAGTTTACCAAAGAATTAAGAGTCCATGAAAAGTTTCAGTCAGAAATCTTGGTTAGAAATTAAACTGAAAGCATGAGTATACTACTATGAGGCCAGGATTTCAGAAGTAAAAGACAGTGGTCCCTTTGGAGGCCACCCACAGATGTTTCATGACCTACCTGTTTTAACAGCTGTTCAGACTGATGCCCAGGGTGTGCTACTTGGACATCAGACAGATGCTTGGACTTATGATCTGTCACTTGTTTGTTTTGTTTTTAGTACAGTCTGTGCATCTTGTTTACAATGTCTTTTGGTACAATACACCTCATTGATACAGCACTTTTTTTTTTTTATTGGTCTTTTTCTTTTTTATCAGTACTGGGGATCGAACTCACAACTGCCTGCTTGCAAGGCAGGTGCTTATGCCACTGAGCTAAATCCCCAGCCCCAGCACTGTAGTTTTATGTTCTGTTATACATTACAATACTGCATGTAAGACTTATGCAAATAAAAGCAAAGCCATCTAGTTGGAGTTTCCTATGGCCATTTCTATGTTCTGAACATTGTATATAACACGTACAATTCCTCATTTAGTGACCAGTTTAACAACCTGGACACAGAAACAGAATCTGCTCATCAAAAAAGGGATGCCTGTACTCAGAGATGCCCTAAAAGCAACAAGAGAACATGAAAAACAGATCCAACAACTGCTAGATGATGCAAAAAAGGTTAAGAATAGGAACAAGTGAAAAATCAGAAAACAATACAAGTTGCATTTAAAAAGCTGTTCACAGAAACAATGGCAGAAAACTTCTCAAATGTAGGAAAAGAAAAAACATAAGTGACGCATACTGAATTCCCAGGAGCCATGACCAAAAGAGAACCTCTTGCACCACATTATATACTCAGAATCATAGTTCCTTACAGGGACAAAATCTTAAAAGCTGTTAGAGAAAGGCAATGAGTCACATGTGCAGATAAACCCATTAGAATGACAGCAGACTACTCTACACAAACCTTAAAGGCCAGGAGGGCTTGGAGTGAAGGGCCCCAAGCACTAAAAGACAAAAACATGCAACCCCAACTTCTGTATTGTGCAAAACTTTCCTCCTTTAAAATCAACAGAGAAGCTAAGCATAGTGGTGCATACCTATAATCCCAGCATTGAGTAGGTTGAGGCAGGAGGACTGCTGCAAGTTTGAGACCAGCCTGAACTACATAGTGAGACTCTGTCTCAAAAATAACAAATAAATAAGTAAAACAAAACAAAATAAATTATTTCCATGACAAGAAGCACCTCAAATTCATGACACCAAACCAGTATTATAAAAATTCTCTGGCTAGCCTAGAAAGAGACAAGCCTACAATGACAGTAAGCCAAAAAGAATCAGTATACTTGGCATGATCAGCATCTAAGCAAAAAGAATATACTTCTAAAATGAAGAAATAAAAATAAATATGTTGAAAATGTTCAAACTGGGTGTGGTGGTACACACTTGTAATCCCAGCACTCAGGAGGCTGAGGCAGGAGGGTTGCCATGAGTTCAAGGCCAGTCAGGGCTACACAGTGAGGTGAGGACCAGGCTGGATTACACAGCAAAACTCTGTCTCGAGAAAAAGAAAACAAAAGCAATGTTCAACATCACTGGTCACTTGAGAAATGTGGATTCAAACAATGAGATTCCATGTTATTCCAGACAGAATGCTATCAACCAATAACAAATGCTGATGAGGCTGTAGGGGAAAAGAACCCTTCTTAATTTCTGATGGGAATGTAAACTGGTACAACCACTACAGAAATCAGTATGATGGAAATTCCTGAAGAAACTAAGAAATTCCATTTGACCGAGCTGTTCCTCTTCTAGGTATCCTCCCAAAAAGAGTTAAAAACATCACAGCAAGTGATGTACACATATCCAGCACAATTCATAATAGCTAAGTCTTGGAAACAGCCTGCATGGCCATCAACAGATGAATGGACAAAGAAAACGTAGTGTTTGTATACGACAGAGGAGTCTTCTGTAAAGGGTAAACTTGAGTCATCTGTGGGAAAATAGATGTGCCTTGAGACAATAATGTTAAGTGAAGTAAATCAAATGTATGTACTCAACATCACATGGTTTCCCTTATATGAAAACATATGAAGTGTGAAATAAAAGATAGATACAGCAGTGCCTCGGTTCATGAACTGAATTCATTCCACGAGTGTGGAAAAGCCAGCCACATTTGTGTTCATGCAAGAAAGATGGCTGTGCTCATGTCCATTACCCGATGCAGTTTGCAAACAAAAGCAAAATTTGCCAAATGCTTCTGTTTTTGAACCAAACTGTGAACAAAAGCATTCATGGAGACACCACTCCACTCGGGAGAGAAAAAAGTTACCGCTGTCCAGCATGGACAAGGTATCTAAAGTGTACCTTGATTAGTGCAAAGGGTCATACGTTTTCTGCTTTTTGACCCATTAGTCTGACTGTGAATCTGTATTCATGATCACTAACTTTGTAACGATTTAAATATGTGAATCTGATGCTGGCAAAACAAGAGGAGGAGGAAGGGAAAGGGGAAAAAGCGTTGAGATGTGGTATATTCACACACGATTGCCTATAATAAATGTAACTGTACGCCAAACATATACTAATAAAATATTTTTTAATTTAAAAGCTGAAGATGTAGTTTAGTGATAGAGCAACTTAGGTTCAATTTCTAGTAACACCCCCCCCTAAAAGGGGGAAAACACTGGTCACAGGACTACAGAATGCTTTCACCAATACATAATCTTACTACTGCCTTAGCAGACCCCTGTGCGATAGCAAGGCTCAAACTCCATCTAACAAGGAGTCTTTAAGGAAACCTAAAACCCACTGGGAGCAAACAAAAGAACACCATGGAAACACGCAGGTTGTTACCAGAAGCTGCCACCTGTGGCTGAGGGCTCACAGGCACATTGGACTTCTCTCCAGAACCATTCAGAACAGTGGAACAAAGTACGGGCAGAATTTTAAAAGGGCTGCAATTCTGTAGCCAGCAAAATTTTCCTTCAAGGGGCTGGGGATTTAGCTCAGTGGCATAAGCGCCTGCCTTGCAAGCAGGCACAATGATATCCAGAAACCTCCTACCGCACCAGGATGTTTAAAACTGCTGGCTTCTAAGCAACTAGAAAGCCAGTTTCTTTCCAGCAGTGTTCTCTTCTGTTGCTAAAAACCTAAAATAGCACAACGAAAGAAAACAAAAAAACTGTGACAGTGAAACAACGGATGTGATTTGGTTTTCATTTATCTATCTTTACTGCAGTTAGATGAATTAAAGGAGTTAATTTCCCTCCATTTGGCTGCTGTATTTTGTCATTATCTTTGCCATTAATAATGAAAACAGGGCTGGGGATTTAGCTCAGTGGCATAAGCACCTGCCTTGCAAGCAGGCAGTCGTGAGTTCGATCCCCGGTACCGATAAAAAAAAAAAAAATGAAAACACAGTTTGCAGAGATCAGCAAGCTATGTCCTTCCACCTGTTTTTGTAAATAAAGTTTTATTGGAACACAGCCACACTTGTTCACTTAGGCATATTGTTTATGAATAGTGTATTATTTATTGTGTATTGCATCACTTATTAGCTGCATTTATGATACAACAGCAAAGATAGGTTGGTGCCACAGAGATTGTTTGGCCAGAAAATCCTAAATATTTACTCTGAACCTTTGTACTAAATGTGTCCATCTTCATTCTGAAGGAGGAATGGAAGCTTCTGTCTTTTATTCTTACCCTATTGTGGGTACTGTGCAAACTAGATATGGTGAGGTCATTTTAAATACTGAGATCAACAACTGTCTAAGGATAATGAATGGATTGTCTTCTTACAGTTAAGCAGACCTTCCATGTGAGATCCCACAGCACTTTGAGCTTATCTCAGTGGAAATGGACTTCCTGGCCTCCAGAGGTTCTGCTTTTACAGAGATGATTGGTGGAGACGATTTCTTTTCTCCCATGCCACCTAGAAGCTGCCTGGGTAGCAATCACGGTGACACCGTACCTTACACCGACTCAAGGAGGTGTGAGTTCTTAGTGCAGTGCAGAGTCTAAGAAACCACTACACTTCTAGAGGCTAGAATACACATTGAGAGGGAGTCTGCTGTGAAGGTAGCCACTCCTTACCTTAAAGAGAAACTTACTTCCTCATCAGCACAGTGAAGCTGTACTACATCTTGGACCCTAATCAGATATCTGTTTACTTCTGATAGAGCCTACAAAATCAAAAAATTAAAAATTTAAGTTTTTAAATGCATACTTATGCAGAACTATTTTATATCTCAGAATACGTGTTGACCACAATGAAACAATCAGTCGTTTTGTTGTTTATAAAAACAGGGTTTCTGTTGGAAGACCACAGCACCAACAGTGACAATCAACGTTTTAGAATGTTGTAAAAGCTTTTCCAACTACGGAAGTTGTTTTGTTTGAGTGTGTTTCAGCCAGGGTGGGAGGTGGACAAAAATGGAACCGTGAAGAAAAGGAGGCAAAGAACTCCTACAGACTCGGGCTGCTGTATCCATGACCTCTTGCCATGTACAGTGGTCCAGCCGTGATATTCTGCAGACTGTGGGTTCCAAGAATTTGAGCCTTTGTATGACAGTCAACTCCACTTCTTTTTCCCTACCAAAACAAGTTAAAACAACTCCATCTTGCTTCCCTAATCAACCAAATAAAAATAACACTTCCAGTCAACTGGTACTCTGGTTCCCCTTCTCTTACAGAGTGAGCTCCTACTAAGTGGAAGGGGAGTGGCTTGCACAGGGATGGGGCACAGAGGTGTGAGATACCGAAGGGGCGGCTCGGTGGGAGGAAGCCTCACAAACAAGATTAACAACTGACTTCGGTTTTTAAAGGATGACTAGCAGGTGGAGGAGCAAAGGAAGGCAGTTTGAGGGGGGGAATGAGCTTGGGTGTAGAGCCAATGAAGAGAGGCCACATGGCCAGGGCTGGAGCGTAGATCTGTGGAGTGGGACAGGCAGGGAAAGCTGTCAGAGGCCCCGGGGACTTTCTGGACACTGGGCAGACTCCTGCTGCAGGCACTGTGGTGGAACACACAAGCGGCACATCTCAGAGTGCCACAGAGCAGGGCGCTCCAGCCACAGAGAGGTGCTGGGGTCACGATACATGTGCCCCTTCTGCAGCGTGCTTGCAACCAAGGTGAAAACGCGGGAGCAGTCAGCTCCCTGGCAGTGGCAAACACTGCCTGTGTCGGCTGTGCTGGGATCTGCATGTCTCCTTTTGCCAATGATAAGGTTCTGTTCCCAAGTGTGAGCCAGAGCAACTACATCAGAATACATACAGGGCATCCCCAGACGAGTCTCTGTACATCCGACAGCTGCTCTTTCATACTGACATTTTCCTTTATCTAGAAAAGAAATCGACTGTAGGTAAATGAAAACTGTGATAGTTATGTTTAAAAAAGAAATTGATTAAATATTTCATGGTTCGGGGCTTACTAATTTACTGTAGTAAAACCTCACTTTTCTGTCCCCATTGTCTTAAAACAAAAGCAAGTAACAAGATTACTCAAAAGAGCATCTTCAAGGTACACATATATTCAGTCTGGACAAATATACACATAGTAGGGCTAGAGGTTTAGCTCAGCAGCTAAGTGCCTGCCTGGCAAGCGCAAGGTCATGAGTTTGATTTCAAACAAACAAACAAACAAAAAAAAACCACACACACACATACACACACACACACACACACACACACACACACACACACGGTATTTTTAGAATCAGACTACTGTACTCCAACATGCTGAAGTCTTTTGGAGAATAATTAGTATGACCCTACTTATAGCAGCAGAAAGCTGATACTTAAGTACTTTCAAAAGCAACGGTTTGTACATTTGTTTTCTTTCTGCTATCTAGAAAAAATCCAAATTTCAAATTTATGTTCCTAAAAGTTTTAGTATAATTGTATAACTATCTAAGAACACTCTGCCTTGTGCTGTCCAATTTAGAATAGATGCCTTAATATACAAAATCACTGGACACTCATTTAGCATTAAAAGAATGAAAGACCCCAGGAAGAACATCACTGAAGACAAGCTCTTTCAGGATCTTTGAGGTAAGAGTACCACAAAAATACAGGTTTTAAGGACACAGATGCTTATCAGCAACCAACCTTATCCAGATAACCTTTGTATCTCTTGATTTGGTCAATTGCAGCAGTCAGCTCCCCACAGTCAACGTGTCCTGCAGGAGTGTGAAGCCTCAGTGCATAGAGAAGAGTCAGGTACTCGTCAAACCTCCGGGATGGGCACAACAACAGCTCTGGCAGGCTGTGTGAGGCACAGAGGGGAGCCCGGGCTCTGGCTGAAGGTCGAAGGGGACACCCTGTCTTAGAGCCCGCCTGTGCTGTCCCTCAGAACTCACCTCAGCATGTGGGTGACAATTGTCTTATCACACCTCTGCAAGAAAGCTCGGAATGCTGGCGCTGCTTCTCTGCACTGAAAGGTGAGGAGGACGCTGTCAAAGCTCAGCTCGGTGAGGCAGCGCAGAGCCCCTGTCCCACAAGCAAGCGGAGATGTATGGAATGCTCCAAAGGGCACCTCTCCCCTAACCAAATTACTAAGAGAACTATTGGCGTCCCTGTGTATACTAAGGAGGACGTATGAGGTACACCATGGCTGAGACCCAGAGTAAATAACAGACTGTGGAGTCAGGCACAGAACTGGAATAAACTGAATGTGTTGTTTTGCAGAGTTACTCAGTTTTGGAGACCGCTGAAGCTGAATACACATGCAGGGCTGTGGCGTGGCCTGGGCACGATTGAACTGAGAATGAGGAGAACCTCGGGGGCAAGGTAGGCCACAGCTGAGGCCACTGGAGACTTTCTGGCTAGTGTCCTTTAATTAGCATCCTCTGTTGCTCTGAGGGCACCTTGAACCCCTCCCATGATCCTGTTCAGGTTTCCTCCATTGTCCACTCAACTCCTTGCTTGTTTTGATTAAATACTGGGTGCCCAGTGTCAGTAGGCTGGCTGGCTAGCAGAATTACGAGCTCTGCTGAGGCTTTCTCTCCTCCTGCAGCCCTGAGGACCATACTACTTGTCTCATTCCTTTGATATTTACAAGATGTACCCATTTGGGGATTAGGGGGTCTAAGCACAGACCCCAAAAACTCAACCTCTCTAAGCCTCAGCATTCTCATCTTTAAAATAGATACTGACTGGGCGTGGTGGCATATACCTGTGATCCCAGCCCTTGAGAGGCTTTCAAGGCCAGCCTGGACTAAGCAGGGAGTGCTTGGCCGGCCTGAACTACAAAGCTACAGTGACTCCATCTCGCAGAGCGCCAGCCCGGCCCTGTTAGCTGCTCTGTGGCCAAGGCTGCAGCACACTGTGGCTGTCGGTCCTCACACTGGGCAGGTTGAGTCCAGGGAGTTTCCAAGTGGAGACGGGATATGAGCGGAGTACAGACAACTTTCCTCAAGGACCCTTCTTGCCTTTGCTCATTTGATTAGTGCTCCACCAAACCAGCAGCCTAGCACTGGCGTGTGGGCAAGTCATCATTGCTGCAGCACAGGGTTGCCCCCTGCCTGGGAGTGAGCCCTAAAAATCTCAGCTACCCACCAAGCTGGACTTGTCCCAGCTGTTATTTGGCGTGTCCACTCAGAGGCATACGCTTCTTCTATGTCCCTCCATGAAATTTATGTGACACAAGCTGTCCAGAGAGCCAGACTTGGCAAGGCCACAGAGACTGTCGTGGCAGAGTGGACTTGAAGCTCACGGTCCGCATCTGTGCGGGTGCTGACACTCTCCTGTCACTGACCTCGAGGAGCTGGGGAAGGTGGGAGCCAGGTGGTGCAGGCAAGGACTCACTCCACACAGCAGCCAGGTCCCAGCCCAGTACTGGCTCAGCCCTGTCCTCGGGAGTCCACAATGTGTGGGGGAGACCTCACGCTGCATGCAAAAACAGCCCTGTCCAGTCATTGTGGGGCCTCTGGGCTGCAGGAGTCACGGGCTCAGGCTAAATGAAGTCACTGATGGTGACTCCCACCATTTACCTTCTCAATGGTTCTCAGCACAACAGGGTAATTGTTGAAGAAATTGGTGTATGTATTCAACTGGCTCCCAAACTTTATAAATATTTCACCCACACAGTGGGCCGGGCCCCATTCCTGTAGTCTGTCTCTCAGGTTATCTAGAAGCTGCCTGCAATCAGAGGGAGAAAACACCAACATAAGAATGCAACAGGAGCCCAGGAGCCCTACACACTGGTCACGAGCACAGCCTTACTCGATTTTAATCTGTGTCTTAAAACAGATCTGATGGGGCAGGGGAAGCTGGGAGGTGCAGGAGGAGGTGAGAAAACGCCTGATTCTTCCCCTAATTCCGTAAATCCACTCAGTGCACCTCCAGCCTCAAGGAGAGAGTGACAGTGTGGCACTGGGCTGTTACAGGCCTGCAAACCGGAAGAGGCCTCTCCGCCTCCCTAACCTGGAAAGAGTGGGACCCACACGGGTGGGAGCGGGTCCCAGGGAACAGGAGGCTGTTAGGAGCACAGGTGTAACACTGCGACTGACTCGGGCCCTGAGCAAAGCGTCCTAGCGTCCTGCGCCCTTCCCGCTGCCTGGCTGACAAAGCACAGCAGTGCTGCCGCTCTAAATACTGCGCTGGCTGCTGGGCGCTTTTTCTGACACACAGCTGTGACCTGTGGCGGGGTGCTGCCCTGGGTCTCATCACTGCAGTGTGCAGCCAGGGAGTGGGTGACACACTGAGGGGCCTCTGTGCTGAGAGATGACCCGGGTCCCCAAGCAGGCAGACAGTGACTGAGGCCCTCTTCTGCTTTGGAGAAGAAAGTTCCTTTACCTGTTCAGACTTAAAATCCGCAGGATATCGGAGAAGATGATCCGGATATTTGCAGCGCTCAGAATGGCTCTGTTCGAAGCCAGCGCGGCTCGCAGCGGTGTGGCATACACGTCCCTCACGGCGGCCAGCAGCTGCACATACCTCCTCTCGCTCTGTAAGAGCTCCCTGGCCACCGCGGCTCGCCTCTCCCACGGGTGCCTCTGCAGCGTCCTCTCCTGCAGAAGCATTGGGAGTCCACAGGCAGCGCACAGCGACCCCAGCCTCACCCTCCGGCCAGGCTCCGGCCCGAGGCTGACAAAAAGCTCCTGGATGGGCCCGAGGCTCAAAACAGCAATCCTCCTCGTTGGTTCGGGGGTGCCCTTCTAGAGACCCAGGCCACGGAGTGGCTAAGGCGAGACCAGGGTGAGCGGCAGGGTCTGCGGCTGAGGCAGGACAGATTCTGATCGGAAGGCCACCTGCCACAGTGGATACAACTGAGCCCAAAGCTACTACAATCGATTGTGTCCCTGCAGCAGACCAAGTCCCCACTACTCTACCACACGCAGCATATGCGGGCAGAAGTGCTTAAAGGGAATGACCACCTGTGTGCTTTGATTGACATCCAATGGGGGTTAAGAACCCCCCCTTCTGTGTAGGTGTGCGGGCATGCTCACTGCGCCCCCATACTTAGGTGCCAGTCGGTGTTTGGCGCTCAGGGTTTTCACAAAACCCAGCTGCTTGAAAACCTTGCCATACCATGTTCTGTTGGAGTATTTTAATGTTTTTCATTTATCACTGTAAAACCAAGGACGATTTTTTTTGTAATGACTGTGTGCTTGCCAGGCAGGCGCTTAGGCCGCTGAGCTAGATCCCCGGCCCCAATTTTATAACATTTTTTAAACATGGTTCTTACATGTACAACATGTCTTTATTACTCCAAACATGAATGCAAGTTTATGGTTTGTGGTTTAAAGAAGCTTCTCTAAGACAACACAAAATGTAATGCTATGATCGTCACCCAGTGAAGTCAACCATGATTTCATGAACTAAAATTACAATATAGAAAGAAATTTAAGCCAAGCCGAAGTGTGGGAAAACTATAACTCTTAGAACTACTATAATGCACTTCTCTGGACTGTTCAGATCTCATCTTTCAAGCACATCCCCTGTGTATAACGTCTATTGAAACCTATCTCATGAGGTAAAAACATACATCTGTAGCCAGGTGTGGTGGTGCACCCTGTAATCCCAGCACATGGGAGGCTGAGGCAGGAAGATCACTGCAAGTTCAAGGCCAGCCTGGGCTACACAGTGAGTTTAAGACCAGCCTGAAATACACAGTGAGACCCTGTCTCAAAATTCAAAAGGAAGAAGAAAGAGGAGGAGGAAGAAGCAAACAAAAGAAAAACCCCATACATCTGCATCCCACCTGAAAGATGGTTTGGAGCCATGTTATATTTTTTATGTGCATTTGCTGATCTATGTTTTTAAATATTGGCCTTTATCCAACTTTTTTTTGGTACCAGGGATAGAACTCTCACAACCTGAGGCTTGCCAAGCAGGCGCTATGCCACTGAGCTAAATCCCCAGCCCTTTGTTTGTTTGTTTGTTTGTTTGAGACAGGGTCTCACTATGTAGTTCAGGTTGGTCTTGAACTCACTATGTAGCCCAATCTGGCCTCAAACTTGTAGCAATCCTCCTGCCTCAGTGTCCTGAATGCTAAGAGCACAGGTGTGTGCCACTACACCCAGCCCAACACTTACAATCACTGTGGCTTACAGTGTCACTTGTTGAACCTTTTGTTTTTAAAACACAGCAGGGTGTCACTGTCTTTAGTCAGATGAAATGCCATCCAACTCCTTGGTGGTTCCCAGAGATGGAGCTGAGGGAGATGCAGACCCCATCCCTGCGATCCTAATTGGCCCTGCTCTAGCCCTTCATCTGTAGAATGGAGCCACTGCGCTCTATTGTGATGGCCTCTAGAATGACAGGTGGCAATCAGCATAAGCCTGTGTGGGCAAACACCAAGTACCCCGTGATTCCGAGAGTCTGCTGGACAGGACCGGCCTTCCCCTTGCAGCAACCTCCTCCCTGCGCTGGCCTTTTGCCCACAAGGATGGATTTCTCAGCCTCACGCTGATGAGAGGGAGCTTTTGATGCCAGGTGCTAAACTGGCGGGTCATGCAGGAGGACAAGCCTTCGTCCAGGGGTCATTTCTCTAAATGGTATCCTAGCATGGGCGAATCATGGACTTACACACAGACTGGTTTTTCTCCCTAGATACTGTATCTCCATCCTTCTAACTCGGCTTCTCTTCAGTCCTGGCTTATTCAAGAGAGGAGGAAAAAAAAAAAAAAAACCAGCTGAATTCCCCTCAGCTATTTTTAGGATTTTCTTCAGAGGGAAATTTTCAAGGAAATCATAGAACTAACCAAATGCAGACCGAAGCTTCACTGTTAGGAGCAAAACAAGTAGGAGATGCGGATCCTGTAGTGTTGGAGACCTTTGAAGCTTTGCAGGGCTGTGGCGTGGCCTGGGCACGATTGAACTGAGAAGGAGGCGAACCTCAGAGGGCAAGATGGGCCACAGCCGAGGCCACTGGAGACTTCCTGGCTAGTGTCCCTTAATTAGCATCCTCTGTTGCTCTGAGGGCGCCTTGAACCCCTCCCATGATCCTGTTCAGGTTTCCTCCATTGTGCACTCAACTCCTTGCTGGTTCTGATTAAATATGGGCTGCCTAGTGTCAGCCACTGGCAGAGTTAGCTCTGCCCAGGAGTCCACTCCTGCGGCCCTGAAGACCATGCTGCGTGTCTCCTTCCTTTGGGCTCTCGGCGTGCACCTGTTTCAGGGGTTGGGGAATCTAGGCACAGACCCCCAACGATGTAAATATTGGCTTACCAGCTCAACCAGCCCCTCAAGGTCACTTTTGCTCAGACTTGACTTTGTGTCCCGACAATCTCCTGCTATCACATTTGTTTTCTAAAGAGTAAAAGGAAAAGAACACACTGTAAAATTCACCTCACATACCCTTTCTGGGTTGTCTGTTTTCATGCTTAAATACAGTATCCTTTCTTCGCTTTACCTTGTGAATTGTGCTTATTCTCCCTGTAAATTAGCACTTAAAAATAACCCTTCCCGCCGCTGGCTGCCAGTGGCATCTGAAGCCCGCTCTAGCAGTGGAACAGTGACCCTGTGTTTACCTTGAGCAATAACAGTGACAGATACTCCTGCTGCCCTTTCCAATGAAGATAAATCTGTGCTAACCCCCAGCTGTGCAGGCAGAGACTGGAAGAGAAATATCAATTTATAACCGAGACTCCTTTTGCCTTATTCGTGCAAAAATGAATGTGTGTTTTGTAGCTGTGGGGCTCCTCGTGGTGTCCTGAGACCCAGGCCCAGGCAGCTCCAGCACCCTCCAGTCACTGCCGTCCTCCCCACGCACGCCTGTCCCATGCCAGCCCCGTACCAAGTTATGCTTGTGGTTAGGGAGGAAAAATATACCTTACATTTTAAATAAAATAATTCAATTTCCCTCCAAGTGGCACACTTGTCTTTTTAGGCTAAATAACAGTGCTGATCACTGCTGGTGGAGAAATGATCACTTTGCCAAGCCAGTGGAGATACCAGTAGCTGTTCCCACAGGAAGTGACTGCAGACATGAGGCGAAAGTCAAACTTGCACTGCCCAGGCCAAGAGCAGGAGTAAGATCATCAAAACAGCGCACAGCTCTGTATGGTTCTCCCAGGGAAGGAGACTGTCCTCACGTGAGCTTCCATCTATTGTGGTTTGGGGACCTCACGTGTCCCCCGAAGGCCATGTGTTGGAAACACTGGTCTGTGGCAGTGCCACTTCAGGAGGGAGGGCTTCCATCCGGGGTGAGGTCAGGGAGGAGGTGCCTGCCCTGGAAGGGGCTACAGCCCTGTTCTCTTTCTCCCTTTGCTTCCTGGCCTCCATGAGGTAAGCAATTTCTTCTCCTCACCACAGGCTCTAAAGCAACTGAAAGGACAAACTCTGAAACCACGAGCTGAAATAACCTTTCTTTCCTTTAAGTCTGTTTTCTCAGATATTTGTCTCCCAGATAATAGAAAACTGACACATAACTTACTACACATGCCCACCTGAGCACTTGCACATCAGAATTCAGGTGAGGCACTGGAGATTGGACTCAACCTGGCACTTGTCAGGCAGGGGCTTACACCACTGAGCTAAATCCCCAGCCTCATTGCCAGGCTTTTTAAAGCCTACTTTTATATTGAGATTCCACATTATTATTTTGCTTTTAGAAATGAATTCAGAGGCAGTAATGAGCCACACACTGCAAATTTAAAAGAAAACGAGATTAGTGGAGTCACACAGAACAGACAGACACTGCATCGTCTAGAGTCACTCTAGTCTTAGCTGGTGTTTTTCTCAGAAGATGCTGTGCTGCCTGGATCAGGGGCCTGGACGGTTGTGAGTATGAGGAGGTGACAGAGCTCAGGCACAATGGATGATTCTGGCTGTGACCCATCACTGTGGGTCACAGTATCAACTAGACACTAAAGGGCACAGAACCTCGTGGGCAGCAGGATGGTAGATGACCGAGAGAATAGATATATATTCATGCTCTCATACACTCATGGATTCAATAGCAAACCTGTTACACAAGCACCTGGGGAAGATCTTAAGAACAGTTAACATCAAGAGAAGTTACTATTTCCTCTCCCATGGCTGTAAGTATATGCTCTCTTCTGAGCAAATATCCAGTTTTAAAAACAAACCTCTAGGTGTAGAGAAAGTGAGCTTCTCTATTTTCTCTCTCTTTTTTTTAAGACAGGGTTTCTCTATGCAGTTCAGGTTGGTCTTGAACTCATTTTATAGTCCAGGTTGACTTCCAACGCACAGCAATCCTCCTGCTTCAGCCTCCTGAGTGCTGGAATGACAGCAGTGCACCCCACCCAAGCTTTATTTTGTTCTAATTCAACACCTGTGTTTAACTGTGATTCTTCCTCTGAAGAGTCCCCAGAGTGTATGTGGGCTTCGTTAACATGCTATTAAGTATTCAGTAATAAAAACCAAATAACGCGTAAACCTGAAGGGGCTTCATTTTGAAATCTTTTGCAGACGTTGCCGCGGGAGCAGCAGACGCCTTAGATACGGCCGGCGGGGCGCGTGCTCTCCTGCAGCGCTGTGGACCGGGCGGCGCGCGAGGCCGGTGGACAGAGTCTTGGCCTCTGTGCGTCTGGGCACCGCTAGGTAGGAAACGTGAGCGGCACCAACTTGAATAAGAACGACGAGTTTGATGAGCAATTGCAAATGCAAGAATTATATGGAGACCCCAAAGACGGTGATATCCACAAGGATCCAAGTGGAGAAACCGAGTCTTTCGGGCAGCAGCCAGCTGACACCCCCTATGAGTGGGACCTGGACAGGAGGGCTTGGTTCCCCAAGATCACTGAAGATTTCATCGCTACATATCAGGCTAATTATGGCATCACTAGTGATAGAGCATCTGGTTCTCCTGAGCATGTCCCACACACCAGTATGAGGACTGCAGAGGAGCCTCCACAAAGAAAAACCCCAGAACCCACTGATCCCAAAAAGAGGGGAGAGAAAAGAAAGGGTGACTCAGGATGGTTCCATGCTGAAGAAGACAGCAATACAAATGTATATGTGTCTGGTTTGCCTCCAGACATTACAGTGGATGAATTTATACAGCTTATGTCCAAGTTTGGTATTATTATGAGAGATCCTCAGACAGAAGAATTTAAAGTCAAACTTTACAAAGATAATCAAGGAAATCTTAAAGGAGATGGGCTTTGTTGTTATTTGAAGAGAGAATCTGTGGAACTTGCATTGAAACTTTTGGATGAAGATGAAATTAGAGGCTACAAATTACATGTTGAAGTGGCAAAGTTTCAGCTGAAGGGGGAATATGATGCCTCAAAAAAGAAGAGGTGCAAGGATTATAAGAAGAAGCTGTCTCTGCAACACAAGCAGTTGGATTGGAGACCTGAGAGGAGAGCCGGACCATGCCGAATGCGCCATGAACGAGTTGTCATCATCAAAAATATGTTTCACCCCGAAGATTTTGAGGATGATCCAATGGTTCTAAATGAAATCAGAGAAGAGAATGTGCCAAATTTGGTCAAATTAAGAAGCTCCTCCTGTGTGATAGGCACCCCGATGGTGTGGCCTCTGTGTCCTTTAGGGATGCAGAGGAAGCTGATCACTGCATTCAGACCCTTGATGGAAGGTGGTTTGGTGGCCGTCAGATCACTGACGGCCCATCCCAAGCGTGGGATGGGACTACAGATTATCAGGTGGAGGAGACCTCAAGAGAAAGGGAGGAAAGGCTGAAAGGATGGGAGGCATTCCTTAATGCTCCTGAGGCCAACAGAAGCCTTCAGCGGTCAGGTTGTCAGTGCTTCAGAAATGGAGGGCCTTCTAGAGCACATGGAGGATGAATGCTCAAGAAGCTGAAACTGGGATGGTATTTGGAGAACCTGTTGATGAGAAGAAGTTTGAAAAAACAGAGGATAGGGGAGAATTTGAAGAAGATGCTTCTGGAAAAGATCCTAAAGAAGGCAAGCTTGAAAAAGAATCGGAAGAGGGCTGCCCCAAGAGAGAGTGTGAAGGAGGCTGTTCTGAAAGGGAGTTTGAAGAGGGCAGTCCCAAAAAAGAGCTGAAGGAGAATGGCTCCAAAAGAGAATCTACAAAGAAGATCCTCGGGAAAACGTGAGAAGAGAATGGCCTTGCCAGCGAGTCTGAAGATGATGATGCCAACCCAGGGTCCAAAGAGGAGCGCAGCCCCAAAAAGAATCTGAAGAGGATGACTCTGAGAGAGTCTGACGAAGACTACTCGGAAAAGCAATCTGAAGATGGCTCTGAGAAGGAATTGGAGGAAAATGGTGTCGAGCAAGATTTTGACGAGGAAGGCTCTGACAGGGATTTTCCCGAAAACCTCTTTGACAAAGAGTTAGAAGAATATGACACAGACAAGTCAGAATTTGAAGACACTGAAAGAATGTTGGATGTGGAAGATTCTGAAAGGGAGTTTGACGAAGAGTCAGACGAAAAGGATGACGAGGAAACCTATGACCAGGTTTTTGATGATGAGTCAGACAAGAAAGAGGATGAAGAAGATGCAGATGGAAAAGAGCGTGAAGATGATGATGGAAAAGAGGGGGAAGATGACACAGATGGAAAGCTGTTTGAAGACTCAGATGAAGAGGAAGATGCAGATGAAAAAGAAGACGAAGATATAGATGAAAAGTTGTTTGAAGATGACAACTCCATTGAGAAGTTTGATGAGGTGAGTTTCGGTGAGAAGGAATTTGATGATGGTGATGACAGCAGTACTTTGGGGAATGTGATGGAAGAGGGGCCACTGTCCACACACAGCAGCTTTGTTCTCAGCAGTGATGATGATGGTGATGATGATGGTGTCTAATCCTTTAAACTTGCTTTCTAGAGAGTCTATCTCCATTTGCCTGTGCTTCAGGGCCATTACTAGTAGTTACATGAACATGTGCATAGCGGTAGGATGCCCTCACACTAACGCATCAGTTTTCTCATTGTTTCTTGTACCTAATGTTTTTAAATATATGTTAATTAGCTGTTCAGTTAAAGCTGTTATAATGCAAATAATTGGATACTTGTCTTTTGTCAGATTTGTTAAATGCATGCAGAATAATATTTTTAAAAATATTTTGATTGAAGTTTGTGGTATTCAAACATAAAAAATATGCAGAAACTGAATAAAAACCAAATAAGAATCTAACACGTATTATTTCTAATTTGATTTCTTTTTAAAAGCATCAAAGAAGCTTCTAGGTATGATGCAGGCATGATGGTGCACATCTGTAATCCTGGCACTCGGGAGGCTGAGGTAGGAGGCTCACTGTGAGTTCGAGGCCAGCCTGGACTACCCTGTCTCAATAAAAAAAAAAAAAAAGTTTCTAGGAGTAAGGGAGTCGTGCATTTCTGTAGTTTCATTCCAGCCAAGTGACACAGCAATAGCAGGCTGATTTCCAACAATGAAACAATGCTAAGCCCAAACTTTATGCCTTCTTTTACTAACAAGATTAGGTGTTTAAATCAGCAGCATTTTGGCAAGACTATATTTCAGTGTGGATTTTTTTTTGACAGAAGAAATCTAAGAAAGTCAAAGACACCTGGATGCATTGGTGTACGCCTTTAATCCGGAATCAGGAGACTGAGGCTGGAGGGTCACTGCAAGTTCAAGGCCCGTTTAGGCTACACAGTGAGTTCAAGGCCAGCCTGAACTACTGACCCTGATGAGAGAGAAAAGGGGGATGGAGAAAGAAAAAAAGAAAGACAGAGGAAAGGAGGAACAAGAACCAAGAGTGAAGAACCTCTGAGAGGAGCTGCTCCTGGTGGCCTCCTTTAGAGGCCAGAGACTTGGGAAATGGTTCTCCCCAGTAGTTAGGCCTCTCAAACGCTAGAGTGACTGTTCTGAGGAGAAAATGCACACAGCTGTGGCCCTTGCCTTCTTCAGGTTTTTGCTTTGTTGAGGGCACAGCGGAGTTGAGGCTGAGCTGAAGGCTGCAGGCATAGCTTCCTCCTTAGGAACAGACGCGGCTCACAGGGCTGCATGCCGTTCCCGGGCTCAGAAGCCCCTGGACAGTGTCAGGACTGGGAAGAGGCTGGAGTGTGTGCGAGGCGGCTGCACGGGGCTCATTCTTGTTGTGACCCGAGGGAGGAGGAGGCGATTAGAGGCCTGGTGCCCTTCCGAAAGGCAGGATGGGTGGGGACTGCCCTTACTCCCTGCGGACAAAAAGCTCCCAGAGCCTGAGAGATGGTGGCTACCGTGACGTGGCAAAAGGAGTAGCCTCTGGAGGCAGGAAAGGGAATCTGATGGAACACTGGTGGCCACGTCCCCGCCCAGCTCGTGCGCTCTGTCACCCGGAGTGCTTCGCACACAGCATCCTCTATGCGTGGGCTCGGGCGGGGCTGTGTCCTACTCAGCGGGCTATTCCTGGAGCCCAGCACAGACCCTTGCCATGGTTAGCTCACGTCATTGGTGGGGAGCTGAACTGAGAAGATGGGGTCCCTCTCTGCTTGAGAGTTCCCTGAAAAGACAGACTTAGGAGAGAGGCAGCCAGAAGCGGGACTCCAGTCCGCAAAGGCCTTGGAGGCCTTGAGTGTGTTCGGTTAGACTCCTTTCGGGGAGGTGCTGGGTGCTGGGAAGATGGGGGGGGGGGCTTCCAGCAACTGCGGGCCTTCACCGCTGAGCTCATCGGGGCAGAGAGCCCTGGCCTGGGTCCTCCCTGTCTGCCTCGCCCGGCATACACTGCCCTCTACTGCAGCACTAACAAATCCTTCTGGGTTATCAGACCGAGAGGAGGAAGCGGGTGTTTCGCCTGCCGGAACTCAGCCTTCTCTGACCAACAATCTACATGGTGAGTTTGCTGCGGGGCAGGAGGCATCCCAAGCTTTGGGACACCAAAGAAAGGCAGCTTTTCCAACAGCAGAAGATGGTTCTAAGTGACGTTTTCTCTATGTAGAAATCAGCTCTGTGACTGACAGTGCAAGGCTCAGTGTCCCCTGAACCCTGATTACTTCATGCAGCCCAGGAGTGTGTGGCTGCTGAGTGCGGGGCCAGCAGAGTCGCTTTCTGCCTGAAGAGTTAGCTGCAGCCCTACATCTGAGTGTCACTTAAGGGAAAAACTATTCTTAGTTTCACCAAAAAGTAAGAAGAGAAGAAGAAAGGTGAGAGAGAGAGACAGAGAGAGAGAGAGGAAATAAAGCGAAAAGAAAGCAAGGAAGGAGAAAAGGAAGGGATGGGGTGAGAAGGGAAAAGGTTGAAAAGTGTCCTAGACTGAAAATTTTTTAAAAATCAAATTATTTCAGAACTCAACTGACAAGCCGCAAGCCACAAGCCTTAATACAAATGTCCCCTCTTCCTCAAAACTAAGTAGTGCTATTCAGGTCAGCACGGTACTGGTTATGCTCTGGAGTGGTTCCTCATGTTTCCATGAAACACCCTTTTTAATAACAGTCCCTAAGAATGAAGTTCTTAAGAGAAACGACAGGTTGAGAGCTTTCCAGGAAAAACTGGCATCATGATTTATGAATTTCTTCGCCACATGTGCCCACGTCCACAGTGAAGCCAGGGCGTAACAATGCAGCTTTACCTTCATGAATGAACCGAGCGTTTCCTTTGGGTCACATTTTGTCGGAATAACATTCCCTTCGAAATTTTTGCTCTTTTTATTTTTCTTCAGCAGAAAATCTGACAAGAACTCCAGGGGTTTGTCCTGAAAAATACCCCCACCCCCCCCAAATAACACTATTTAAAACATTCATATGGAATACAGGTCATCAGAACAACAGCAGAAAAGAGACTGCATTTCTGGGGCATTTTCTGTGTCCTGCCTAATTAATTTATATGTCCAGAAAGCAAAGTAAGTATTCCTCTGAGGGCCAAGGGAATTCTCCAGTTAATCCCACACTCCTAGTCACCGCTGGAACTCCTGGCTCTGGTCTTCCAGTCCCATCCAGTTAGCACTCCAAGGTCTGTGGGAGGGTCCCCCAAGATCTTGAGACCCAATGTGGCCCAGTGAGGACAGGACTCCGGGGCTGGAGTGGGCTTGGGCCAAGGACCGGACCCACCGGAATCACATCCCAGGCTCCCCATTTGCTTCCCTCTGGGGTTTGAGGCAGAATTACATCAGGCATGGTTCTTCCTACACCAGAAATGCTGGGCTGGACAGATAAGCACACAGGCCAGGTCATCCCCAAGGCGTGCAGGGTCTTCGCATCAGGCTGCACTGCTGGGCTGGAACTTCGGAGAGGAGTCCCAGCTGGCTGCAAACCCCCTCGCAGAACAGACAAGCACCCAGGAGGCCAAGGCCAGCCAGAGGGCAGGGAGAAGAGGCCCGGCCACGGGAGCCTCAGCCTCGCGATGGTCTGGCCATGGTGGGGGGGGGGCGACACAGAGACAGCAGGGCACCCCTGGCTCTCCTGGCTTCGCTGAGGGACGAGGCATGGCCTGGCTTTTCAGGGAGGACAGCCAAGATCTGCCTCTAAGAACTGTGCCTCTTTGGGCTCCCCGCTCCCCTCCGTGTGCTTGCTTCTGTCCCGTTGCTCTCTCCTCCTCTCCCCTCCAGGGCCCCTGGGCCCTTTGTTTGTTTATATCTGGTTTCGCACAGTTTAGTTTCCCCCTCATAATCCTTGTTGCTTTCACTGTTGAATAATGTGTCTATGAAATATAAAATCATGGACACGTATTTTTAAAGAAGTCACTTCTGACCAGCGTTCAGCACAAGACAGAAAACAGCACACAATGCGGAAACTATTACAGTGCAGAAGGTTTTCCTGATTTTCTTGGACGCACAATCTCTCGGTGGCTGTTTTTACAAATGGATGAAATTTCTCTGAGGAATTGTGCCCCCAGATAAACTGATTTTAAAAATGATAAATCCAAACTAAGGATTTATTTGAGTTGGGATATTTCCGGTGCGCTTTCTTCAGCGAAATACTTACCGCGTGTTCTTTTGAGAGCTCCACCAACCCATCGGCCAGCGCCCGCGCAGTGTCCTGGTTATCTAGAATGCTGGCCGTGGTCATGGAGTCAGACATGATTTGCCCTGGAAATACACGGCCACGGGCCCTGCAGTTAATTTATGCAACGCACACGATCAAAAACGAAACAGCTCAGTCCTCCCAGTCACTCTTTAGTGAACAACAATAACAAAATGCAACGGAGTGAAAGTTTTACTACGTCATGAAATTTTTATGATGCCATAAAGTTATTTTCCATTATGCCATGAGAAAGAAGCTGACCTAGCACAGCCCTATAAAATACAAAGTGAGCCAAAGGGATTGAACTGTGCCCCACACAGCCAGCACCCACCCAGCAAAGCTGGTGCTGACCCAAATCGGTAAGAAGAAAACACACACACACACACACACACACACACACACACACACACAAGAAGGCGACCTTATAAGTTTAAGTGTTACATTCTTATTCCTGCCAAAATTTGCTCCTCATTTTCTTTTATCTTTGTGCTCAGAACATCAATATTTTAAATCCTTGGAAATAACATAGACACCTTTAAAAGTTTTTATGTCTTGAACACCATGCTTTTATTTGAAAATGAGTTTTTTTGCCATTGACTTCTCATTGCATAAATACATCATTAAAAAACCTCCCATCAGGGCTGGAGATTTAGCTCAGCAGCATAAGCACCTGCCTTGTAGGCAGGCGGTGCTAAGTTCGATCCCCCGTACGGATAAAAAAGAAAAAGACAAAAAAAAACCCGTCCATCTTTTCCAGGAACAGTGAGGCCCAGCTGTGATCCTGGCACCAAGAAGACGGAAGCAGGAGGGTCACCGTGAGTCCGAGACCAGGCTGGGCTCACCGTGCGTTCACAGCTAGCCTGACCCGTGTGGTGAGACCCTGTCTCAAGAAACCCCAGACAAACAGACGAACAAAAGCAACCTTCTGTCTTCAAGGGAAGGGGAAGGGGAGTAAACAGAACTAAGATGGGTCATGTCTGTGTCCCAACTCCCCGTGCTGAATATAATCATCACGTGCTACAAACACGCACTAAAAGAAAATTAAAACAATGTAACTTGCATCTTTAGAAAGTTAACCTTTCTTCTTTCCTGACTAGTCTTCAATATCTATGAAAGAATCAGGAGAAATTTCTCCCTGATTATAGCTTCATAATTATTTTTTTAAGTATTGGGTGAACACCTCCTAACTGTGGTAGACCAGATGGTATAAGAAAGTCAGAAGGCAATTGACAGGAATGGATAGAAAAGATGTAGCACTTCTATACAACAGAGTACTGCGCAAGCCATAAAGAAGAACAAACCTGGGCCAGGGGTTAGCTTAGTGGCTTAAGCGCCTGCCCTAGCAAGCATGAGGTTGTGAGTTTGAGCCGCAGTACCAAAAAAAAAGGACAAACCTGAAACTTTTATAGGTAAATGGATGCAACTTGACACCATATGCACAAGTGGAATAAATCAGACTTATATGTGTAAACATTGTATTGTGTCACTAGTGTGAGAAGCTGAAACACTATATGTGTATGTGTATGTGTGTATATATATATAAAATATAGTCAAGATAGTTATACTACTGATTTCTGAGTTCACTGAAGACAATTGGGTACAGCTGTCTTGCACTCTAGGTGACTGATTTAGGGATGGCAATGGGACACATATGTACCAGTGCTGCCCCCTGATTCTTGTGTTTTGAATTTTTTTTTCCTTCAGAAACAAAATATATTTGGAAAAAGAAAATCAGAGGGAAAATCCCTGCACTGGTAGCTTCATGTAAAGAGATGCAGGATGTTTATTGGCACTTAAAGCCTCTGTGCATGTGTCACTGACCCGTGCAGACAGGAACTAAGTGGGCATTTTAACAAACAGCAGGGCAGGGGAAGGGAAGAGGGGCGGCACTGGCAAGGTCGCCTGATGGGTGGCTTGGTCAGGTGGGAAGAACCAGGAGCAACAGGTGGGAAAAGCAGGCTGTTTGCCCAGATGATGAACAAATGCTCCATTTTAAAGAATGGGCTAGCGCAGTGGAAGAGTTGGGCGAGCCATTCCCCTGTTCCCCAGAATCCACTGTGACAGGTCCATCCCGGGCTTACCCGATGCTGGTGCTTAACTTTTAGGGCAAACTGTAATGGGCAAATGATCTCTGGCGCAGCAAGCGGCCAGTTTTGTCCAGGCCACCTGGCCAACACAGGAATTAAGACTTTAAAACTGGAATCAGCAGCAGCATTCTGATCATGAATATGTGCATTCTTGGTGGGCATTCATTGTACAAGTACATGAGGAAAAAAAGAAAAAGGGGGTAAAATTTTACTGAATAAAGGAAAGAAGGGAAAAGTTAAAAAATGAGAAAAGAAGGAAAAAATGGAAACAAAGCTTTTGTAAATGGGGTGGGAGGGGGAGTTAAAGGGAGGGTATAGGAATGGGGAAAAACAGACTCGAGTTATATCATGTACAGGTACTAACTATGATGAATGTGATTACTATGTATATCTAAAATGTGCCAATCAAATCTTAAGAGTTAAAAAATAAGTTTAAAAAAGTTACTGAAAAGGTTCAACAGTTAAATTTTATTTGTGTTTTCCTAATCTTACATTTTCTCTGGATAGGAAGTAAACTTTAAGTGGAGCATGATTGTGCTCCAGGAGGCTGAAGCAGGAGGATCAAAAGTTCAAACCGAGCCTCAGCAACTGAGTGCTTAGTGAGATTCAGTCTGTTTTTTTTTTAAAGGCTGGGTGTATAGCTCAGTGCAAAGGATCTGGGTTCAAAAGTCAATACAACAAAATACAATCATTTAAGAGGAGAGAATAAGCTTCATAATTAGAGTACGGCAGAAGGAGCCGGCGTCCTTACCGACCATCCTGGCGCTGATGACCTTCTGCAGGTCCTTCAGGAGCGGACCCAACTCCTTCCTCACGGACTTCAGGGCCTCCTCCAGGAGCTCCGCCCAGCAGGCCCAGGTCTGCAGCTTGGCTGGGCTGAAGTAGGTGGAAGGGGGAGCCCCGTCCCCCGGCGGCCCCAGCCACTCACTGAGAACTGACAGGAATTTTTTCCCTTTAATATCAGCTCAGCAACTTGAGCTCAGGTGAAAGAACCCCACTTCTTGTTTAAAACACAACCAAAACTCAGTTGTATTTCTAGTGGGGTTCTCAGCCTTTTTCCTAACACTAAGATTAAACTTGCCACAACAGACGACAACAAGAACCTCACCAAGGGCACAGGGCATCATTTCCAGTGCCCGCCCTGTCGCATGCCAGGGGGACACATTCTGCTTGAAACTAGGAAGTACAGAGCTGCGGCCTTGCGCCTCGGGAAGCGGGTCCTCATCTCAGTGAGAGCACACTGCAGCTTGTTTTCACCCTGGAAGTGCCGGCCCGGAGGTTCCGTTCGCTTTGCCCGGCTCCACATCCATTCAGATGGGGATGTTACTGGCAGCCGCGTGGAGAGCTTTACAGTGAGTTTCTTCACAAGGTAAATGAGCAGAAAGGGAAAGGAGGAGGAAGACGAAGACGAAGAAGCAGACGAGGAGGAGCAGGAGGAGCAGAAGCGAGCCCCTCTGAACTGCGAATAGAGCTGGCGGCCTGGCCCTCTCCCCTGCCTGTCCTGCGGACCTGTCCTTTCATGAGCTGAGGTTCCCAAGTCACTTTGGCTTCCGTGAAGTCAGTGTGCTCTCTCTCCCTCCAAAATTTGACACTCACGCCAACTTCCCCAGTCCTGAAAGGGCCTTGGCCTTTGGGAAAGAGATGCAGGGCCTTGTATGTGTCCCCACCAGTCCACTCCCTGTCTGATAAGAAGCAGGCCGAATTTAAAAGGCCGGTGATTCTGCAGACTGTGGCAAAGTAACGTGGTTTTCTCATTGGTCAGGGGATGTCGCATTTTGACCCAGCAGGGGCACTTCAGTAAATGCTCGCCCTCGGATGAATTTAGTCTCTTCCATTTCTGATAATGCTACTGTACAGGATCTAGGTAAGACTTCCCTCCCCCTCCCTGTGGCTGCAGTTCACGTTCCCAAACAAAATCATACCAATGAGAACTGGCTGGGGCCCTAAGCACAGCTGCCCTGTGCTTAGGATTTCTCTAGATCAGCAACCTAATCTTTACTTGACTCTTAATGATGACGTTTTCACCAGTTTTTTGTAAGTGATGGTTTGAAGCAAAATATTTGCCAAACAAAAGCCTCTTCAAGCAAACCACCCAGCAGTACGAAATTACATGTTGTGGGGAGCACCTGCATTCCCCAGGAAGGCAGCCATGGACCCCGGTCATTCCGGCAGGACTCCCTGTCCTTGTCCCTCAGTGGCCCCAAGGCTGTGCACACTTACTGTGTTGGAATGAGCCAGTGGCCACGCCAGTGGGGGCGGTGAAGAGCGTGCCAGTCAGCTGCGACAGCTGGGAAAGGGCCTCCACACCTGCCTCTGATGGGCAAGAGCACCTGCGTTAGTTCACCCACGGGCCTCTCTGGCCACCGGGAAGCAAACTGCTCTCTTAAGAGACGCGGGCCCCGCAGGGCCATCAGCAGTCACCATCCCCACCGAGCACTCCACCTGCACCTTGCAGCAGCTCACCTCAAAATACCAAAGCCCAAACCTTCCCTTCATGAGGCTTGAAGGAGAGGCTGGAGGAGGGGCATGGCCGTGGGCCTGCTGCTTATTTGCAAACGTAGCATATTCAGCCCAACCACGGAGAAAAGTCGGTATTTATTTTCTAAAATAATTTAACTCACAGATTTTTTTTTTATTATTGTTAGACTGAAAACAGATCAGAGCAGAGTGGAAAACAGGGATCCAACTGAACCCGTCACTGATGCCCTCCCTTCTCCACTGGCATAGCAGAGGGACGGGGTTACTGAGTTCAGGGCATCAATCGCACTTGGAATGATGCTCCTGTGATGGACACATGTGTTTTAATTCTTTGTGGTCCCAGAATAAGTAATTACTTCAAGTTACATCAATTACCTATTAGAAAGGGATGGTAGAGACTGAGAGGTTTGCACGTCTCTCCCAACTATCTAATGTCTTCATTGACAAACCAAGGGAGGAGCCCAAAATTAGATCTTTAGTCAAATGATTTAGCCCAATGATTTCAGCAAAATTGCAAATGAGATTCAGTAAGGAATGAACAGTCATTTGTTTTATTTTATTTTATTTTTTTTTGAGACAGAGTCTTCTTCTGTAGTCTAGCCTGACCTTGAACCCACTATGAAGCACAGCCCATCCTAGAATTCATAGTGATCCTCCTGCCTCAGCCTCCCAAGTGCTGGAATTACAGATGTGCACCAATATGCTAAGCAGAAAGAGCAATCTTTACAAAGAACAATACCAGAAAAACTAGATATCTATATGTAAAAAAAAATTAAACCTTTGTTAATATAATACTCTATTAAAAGAAATGAAATAAATGGATCACAAACCTAAGTGTCAGAACAAATCCTAATGCATAAGAGGAAATCTTTGTGACCTTTAATTAGGTAGGGAGTTTTTAGATATGCTTCCAAAAGTATAATTTCTAAAGAGAATAATGAATAACTTGATTAAGAACTTCTGCTCTTCAAAAGAAACTATTCAGTGCCGTAAAATATGTCACAGGGGGTAAATAAACTTGTTTTTAAAACATGCAAAACATTTGAATGAACACTTCACTAAGGAAGATACACAGACAGCAGACAAGTACACAGACACTTGGTCATTAGGAAACTGCAGATGAAACACCACCACGCTCCGCCTGAATGGCTAAAGCTAAGGCCACTGCCCACTCTAGTGTGGGCAGCTGGAGATCTCCGTGTCTCCACGGGGAGGGGGCATGGGGTGCAGGCACAGGCTCTGCCGATGGAGACGGCCCCGGGAATCAGCATCAAAAAGCTGGAGTGGCTCAGACAAAGGGAGAGAAAGAAGCTGAGGCAGGAGGGTCGCTGTGAGCGCGAGGCCCAGCCTGGGCTACACATAGAGTTCAAAGCCAGACTGAGCTACACAGAAAGATCGTGTCTCCAAAAAAAGTTCAGATTATTCCAGAGCGACGGTGATAGCGTGAGACAGTTGAGTCCAAGTTTATCGAGGAAGCAGCCAAGTGACAAGGGCAGCGTGACAGGAGGGGACAGGCGCAAGTGGATGTGTGGACGGGAGGGATTCGGGGTAAGGACTGCTGGGAGGGATATGTGAGTGCAGGGTCTGGACGCGGGCTGCAGAGACAAACGCTGTAGTGGAGAGTGACTCGGCCAGCCAGCGGCCAGCGGAGTGACAAGCTGAGCAGTGATGCCGGATGCCAGGTGGTGGCTCATGCCTTAGTCCAGCTACTCAGGAGGCTGAGGCAGGAAGATTGCTTGAGCCTAGGATTTGAGACCAGGCTAGGCAACACAGTGAGACCCTGCCTCAAAAAATTAAATTAAAAAAAACAGATCTGGGGGCTGAGAATTCAGGGTGTCTGCTGGTTAGTTCATCCAGCTGAGTCTTGCAGGGCTGGTGCCACAGCCCAGATCCAGAGCACGAAATGTAGTTTGGGTGCCATAAATTTCACTTGACACAATTTTTGTACCACCAAATTCTCTCTTCTCTCTTCTCTTTGCCGCGACTCTCTCTGCTTTTCTTTTTTTTTTTTTTTTCCGTTTTTATCGGTACCAGGGATCGAACTCACGACTGCCTGCTTGCAAGGCAGGCGCTTATGCCACTGAGCTAAATCCCCAGCCCCTCTCTGCTTTTCAATGACTTACTCCCCCCCCCCTTTTTTTTTTTTTTTTTTTTTTTTTTTTTTTTTTTTGCTTTTACACCTGCTGAAAAATTTGCTCTGGAGGCTGAGGGTAGAGCTCAGTAGTAAAGTTCTCACCTCCCATGAGCAAGGCCCTGGGTTTGATCCCAAGAATCACCAAAATAAACTCACTTTGTTCTCATTCCAAAAATAATGTTAGTTCATTCAGAAAATAGAGACAAACAAAAATTATTTTAAAAGGGTAAAAAAAAAAATCAAAGCATGGTGGCACACACCTGTAATCCCAGCACTCGGGAGGCAGAGGCGGGAGGATTGTCCTGAGTTTGAGACCAACGTGGCCTATACAGTGAGGTCAACGCCAGCCTAACTACATTCTAAGACAAAAAACAAGCCAAAACCAAAACTCTCAATTATGATCCTGTCCCACTACTGCTGCTTACACCACATGCAACAGCCCTTCAAACCCTTGGCTATTCGGACGCTACCATCCCCTCTGCCCCATGCCAGGCTCAAAAATGGGACCAAGCCATCCATACCCTTTGTAACCTATTCTTTTCTTTTCTTTATTTATTTTGAGTTTTGTGAGACAGGGTCTCACTATGTAGTTCAGGCTGGCCTCAAACCCATGGTAATCCTCCTGCCTCAGCCTCCTGAGTGCTGGGATTACAGGTATGTGCCACCAGGCCCAGCTTGTAACCTAGTCTTTTAAAATTGACTTCTAACATTGAAAACTTATAACTGCATCTAGAAACAGGAACTGTTAGTGTTTTGCTCTAATTCCTAGATTTCTCTATCTGTATTTTCTACAGGGTCCACATTGTGTCTCTTTATGTAGTAACTTTATAAGTTATTTACGAATTCTTTGACATGACTCCATCTCCTTTTAGCCCCTCCTTCTCTTCTTCATTTCTTTCTTTCCTCTGGCCGAAGCCCAGTTCATATGAGGAACAGGCCTGCGGAAGTGCGGAGTATGAAAACATCAAGCCAGGTGTGCTAGCACAACGCCTAGAGTCTCGGCACGCTAGGAGGCCGGGGCAGGAGGATCGCATGTTTGAGTCCAGCCTGGGTAACTTAGCGACTTAGTGATACCTTGTTTCAGAAACAAATAATAAGCTTTTTCAAGAATGGATAATAAGAAACATTCTGAGAAAATTTAATTTCCTACTTCCTCTCCCCTGCTCCACTTGGTAAAATGACCTAGCCCAGAAATGCAGAGCCTTTTTCTTTTCTTTTCTTCTTTTTCAACAGATAACCAGTCTGAACCTGACAGCGTTTCTGGAGTTTTCCTTTAAGCACAGAAATCCACTTAATCACCATGGCAGAGCGCAGACAGATGGCATTTCAGAGGGCATTAGCACCCTCCAGGGTCACCAAGCACCCTCTGTAAAGCACTTCACTGCTTTTAATGCTACCTGAGTACTGGTTTTAATTTTAGTTATCTAAGCATGGGCGCTAGTTAATGTTCACAGGTCCTAGAGGTCAGGCTCGGTGCTGGAGCCTAGCGCTTCTATGAAGCAGCAGAGGCCCACAGACCTGCCGAGGGCCACTTGGCCGAGGAGTGCTCTGAGCAGACTTGGGTCCATGTCCTTGGTCACCAAGGTCACTCCAAGTTCTGGACCCGGCGAGGTCAGTTTTGTCAGCGGGGTAATCACGGTTCCTCAACTGGTCAGGCACTTTCCCTGTCACTATGGGGGCTGAGCTTATTGTATCTTCCAGAATAAACAGAAATAATGCTGCCGGGTCTTGCTGGGAGTGACTTTATGCATGCAGAGGTGAATTCCTCTCTGATCCCTTTTCCCTGTCTATGTGAGCTACAAAGAGAGAAAGAAAGACTGAAATGTGGCTGAATCGTTTGACCGGTGGGCATTTTACAAATTCACATGCAAAAAATATTGCTATGACTTGGATCTATCATGACCCTGAATTCTCGCATGCTCACAGGATGAGGGGACCGTGTGAGCCACAGTCACGGGCAGACTCATCCCTGGGGAGGAGCAGCAGCTGAGTGGTTACGGGGGTCCCCGGGTGTGGCCCCGAGGGTGGATTCTCACCCGGCTCCTCGCCCTCCGCCAGCCCCTTCCTCTGTGTCCCTCTGCCTGGAGCTGCCAACCTGGGCTGAAACAGGCGCCCTCCTGTAAGTTGTGGCATGATGTGTTCTGTGCGGTGATGAGAAAGCGACCACACCTCACATCACAGAGAGGACACAACCACTGCATCCCTGTGGGTGCTCAAAGCTGACCTGATGCGCCAAGTGGCACGAAGAGGTCGACGTGTCCCCCTTCTTCCTCGGTGGCCACGAAACTTCCCAGTGTCTCCCAGAAGTCTCTCACTTCAGGCTTCAGTAAATTTTCAATATCAATTTTATAGCCTAAGGCAAAAATGACACTGTCACTTTAACTTGTAATAGTATCAGGGAAGAAAGTCTCGGGGGAGTGAAGAAATGAAACCCCAAATCTCAGGGCCCAACATCTGCCCACCGCCCAAGATCTCGAGGACATGGAGCCTCACGTGCACCCTGTCAGGGGCCGGAGGTGCCACTGGACACTCCGGTGACCGCGGTGTCCTCCACACTCTGGTTCACCGAGTCTGTGTCCTCTGGCAGCTGTGTGAATTGCCAGCCCAGTGGGGGTCGGGGAATGGCTGGCCGAGTCCCAGGAGCTTGCTGCTAAGTTTCAAAGCAGAAATTCCTCCCACAGTTGTCAGTCAAAATACAAGCTGCTGGGGGAGGAGTGAGGCCCCGGAGACGCCACATGTGAACTGGAAGTCTCCTTTCTCTCTCGCTCCCTGGGAAGTGATTCAAGGGCTCACTCTGCCGTCTTACGAGTTCCCTGCCAGCTGGACCCTTGGTCACCTTGTCCCCTGGTAGGGTTTATACCTGGATGTCCCCCCAAAGCCTCATGGCTTGTAAGTGGGGCTTTTGAAAGTTGATGGCATCATGAGTTTGAATCATAGCTAACTCTGTGACAGGAAGGGGGCCCTGGTCAGAGGAGGGAGGTCACGGGGTGTGACCTGTGAGGTGCATCTCACCCCCACCCTTCCCTCCTTCCTGTGCTTCCTCGCCACCATGCTGGGAGGAGCCCCCCACCCACCCAGGCCTTTTGCCCTGCCCTCTCTGTGTTTATTTTTTTTTACTTTTTTTTTTTTTTATCGGTACCGGAGATCAAACTCTCGACCACCTGCTTGCAAGGCAGGTGCTTATGCCACTGAGCTAAATACCCAGCCCTGCTCTCTGTGTTTAAGCCCGCCTACCATGGACTGAGACCTCTGAACTGCGAGCCAGTAAACCTCTCCTTTAAGTTGACAGTGTTGGGTATTTTGTCCCAACATCAAAGAAGGTGACTAAGATAGCTCCTCTTCTCTAACTCCCAAGGATGGAGATTTGATGATAGTAAAATTAAAACCATTTATACTTTAGGTAATAAAGGAAGACATGAGCTATATAAGGGAGAAAGAAACTAGAAGTTTACTTCTAAAATGATCCTCATTTCCTTCCCCGCAAAAGAGGAAGGATCCAAAAAACTCCAAGAAAATTTGCAGACCCAGCATTTCTCATAATAGCCAAGAGTTGGAAGCAACCTAAATGGCCATCAATGGATAAACTGATAAATAAAATGTACTACACACATGCAATAGAACATTATTTGACATTAAGAAAGAGAATCTCATCACACATGTCACAACACGGGCTGAACCTTGGAGAGAGTGTGCTAAGTGAAATACACCAGACACAAAAAGACAAACACATTTGATGCCTCTTGCATGAATGAGGGAACTAAAATCAGTAGAATGATGGTCGGCTGGGATCATGGAGAGGGGAAAGATGAGCTACTGTTTAATAAGTAAGGGTTTTGGTTTTACAAAATGAAAACATCCTGGAGGGCTGCTTACAATATGAGTACAGTTGTCATTGCGGGGGCACATTGTGATCCCAGCACTGAGGAGGCTGAGGCAGGAGGATTGCCACGAATTTGAGGCCAGCCTGGACTACATAGTGAGTCTGAGGCTAGCCTGATCTACACAGTGAGACCTTGGCACCAAAAACATAACCCCCCACCCAAAACCCTAGTAAACTTAACACCACTGACTTGTACACTTAAAATGGTTAAGACAGTAGCTTTCATGTTGTTTTTAATCATAATTGTTTAAAGTTATCAAAACTTGCTTCACAATCAGTACTTTTCAGCAAACTGAAATTTAAATGGCAGTCTGAAAGCCACGCGTGCCGACGGCACTACCCAGGCGCGAAGCTGCCTGGCTGCTCCTTGCCAGTCCCCATCCTACCTTGCAGTAAATTCATCTCTCTGCTGTCTCCATCGCTAAATATCCCCACACTGCGTGCCTTCCGCCCGGCCAGGGCTTTCTCCGTGAGACACAGCAGGCTGTCCAGGGGCTTGCTGTACTCGTACACTGCAGAGAGCACGCCGGCCTGCACGCTGTCCACCAGCAGCTGGAGAGCAAAAGGACAGCTCAGGCCCCAGCGCCCACTGCCTCAGAGTGGCTAGGAAGAAAGACTCCTGAGGCTGCGCGATGCGCTGTGACTGCTAAAGAATGATTTTCAGAAATGGCACAAGTTAGGCTTCCTGCTTCATTGGTTTCTTTTTAAATTATTTTACTTCTTTTCTACTGATGAGAAGAAATTTAAGTTTACTTGCAAGTCTATCTCTCAGAGATAAATATCGATAACAATCTGGCTTATTTTACCCCGTCCTCTTACACCACGCACAGAGACATGCATACGACTTTCAGAAATACTGAAAGCAGCTCAGGCAATTTTGCAACAGACTTCTTAAATTCAAAGTTTTCCTCCTAATTATGAATTTTTGGATGATCAGTGTCGATTGATATTTTCCACTTAATGTTAAGACCACTGTTCTTTGACTTCAACAGCCAAACAAACTTGCTCTGGCATGACAAAGTTAGCTGATCACAGCGGACGGTGAAAAGTCATTGATGTTGTTGGTTTTTTCCAAAACCTCATGACTCTTTCTCTGTCCCAGTCAGCTGAACTGTGAAATACCACGGGGCTGGGTCCTACCTTTTGCCCCAACCACTCCCTGATCGGTGATCAAGTAAGAGCTTACGCTGTCAGCTTAGGTAAAGAGGGAGGGAGGGTGGGGGAACGGACTGGAGCTGCTCCCTGCGCCCACGCGGTGCCTTTCAAGATCAGGGACCTGTCTGCGGCCCACAGATCAGAGCTGCAGCTTATCTCATGTAGTTGTCAGGGGTAGAGGCAACTCCCATGTGGCCCAAAGAAGTGAGTGCAGATCTACACAGTTCAGATCTATATTGTCACAAACAGAACTTGAGTGAAGTTTCTCGGTTGGGTGATGCACACAGCCTCCTCCAGAGTGTCATCCCCACACCTGCCTGTGCGTGTTCATGCTCAGGGTATGCGTCCATGTATACAAGTGTGTCCTAACTTTCGGTGCAGTTAGGCCTCGGTGAGTTCGTTTGAAGCTGGAAACACTGTATGTCAAATGAAAATGACTGCATGCAGCTAAGCTGGCGCACAGCGTGCTCAGGTGTTGCTGTGACCTTGTGACTGAGCGGCTGAGGTCCCTGCCATACTGCCATTGGCAGGTGGGGACCCTGCTGCAGGACCAGCTGCAGACAAGGTCACAGCATGGCTTCTCCCAAGTGCATCTCTTGTTAGCATTATGAGATCAAAAACTCAGTAACTCAAATTACAACAATACAGGGACCTTCCAAATACATATACTAAAAGCTCACGTTTCTTTTTGAGTCTCCTATGTGCTTCCATTATTTTTCATGTTCATATTAAAATTAAAAACTACAACTTCTTTATATAGAAAAGATATTTTAATTGAATGGTACCCTAATAAACAGATCACAAAACAGGACTCCCAGCCGTCTTCTGAGAGATGGTGTTACATAATATCATTAATTCTGTGTGAATTCCAGAGAAGTGTAAAAAGGATTCTTAATTGACATTGTTTTTTGAACTAAGTACAACAAATTTACTTCATTAAGGCTATTTTAGACACCTACTAAACCCAGGCAGTTTGAGTCTCTAATATTTTTCAAATTATTTTGACTTAGGGTTATTGTTTCTGGTTATTAAAACTGTTTAGGGGTCTGTAAGTTTCCACGTAGATCACACAGTTTCCCTTTTAGAACATCAATCATCTTCATGCACGTGGTGACCAAAGACAATGACACTCCTACTACTCTAGATGGAAGGAAACTCATTCAAGAATGGGCTGGCTCGCAACCCAGCCATACCTCATACGCAGGAATCCGAGATGATATTAATATGAAGCGTGGCTCGTCCTTGTTAGCAACTCCATGCCAATTTTTCTTCGATAAAGAAGGGTAGGAATGGCTTCCAGAAACATTGCTTCTACAGGGAACAAAGGGGACTCCATGCAGTTCTAATATTCTCGTAATCCGACTTTGGCTAAGGAGCACCCATGTCCTGTACCTGGCCCTTCCTAGGGACTGGGGACACCCCGAATGGGCCTGCATGGGAGTGGAGCCAGATATGCTCTTGGGCCTCAGCTGCCTACGGTGGGAGGCTGGAAAGGTGGCTTGGAACTTGGCTTCGGTTGAGCACTTAAACTCAGTCACAGTACACGCCGGGGTCAAAACGACATTTATGAAGGAGTAGCTTCTAGGTCCTTCTGGCCTTGGCAGCTCCGGGGTCCCCACTGTCCCCATGGCCACCTTACCTCCAAGTTACCAAGGACAGGGGCTCCCTCGGTTTCTTGAATTCTTTGTGCATCGTGAGCAAGCACATGTAATGCTCACACTCGCAAATAATCAGACAAGGAGACCTGCGTGCCACGTGAGTGTGTGAAGTGGAAAGAGTGTTGGAACCCTGAGGATTTTAGGTTCCAGTCCAGGAGACTGTGACAGTGGGCAAGTCATGTCACCTATCAATTTTCTTCTCTGAAAACAAAGATGAGTGAGGTTACATGGCCTCTAGGATCCAAAGGTTTTAAAAAATTTTTTTAAGTTTCTAAGAAGCTGTGTAAATAATCATGAATGCTGGTGGAATGAATGAATGGGATAAAAATGGAATTTTTGGTAATTTTATTAGCATCATTTTGGTCACTAAATGCTGCCAGCATTTCTCTAATTTGGGTAATAAAATGAGAATTACATGGCCAGGGATTTAGCTCAGTGGCATATGTGGCTGCCTGGCAAGTGCAAGGTCATGAGTCTGAACCTCAGTACCAAAAAAAAAAAAAAAAAAAAAAATTAACGAGAAAGAAAGAGGAAACAAGCACTGCAACAGCAGGGAGTCATAGAACACAGCGGGAATCTTAGCTCCGCAGGAGGCTGGGCAGAAAGTATGCAAGTTTGAGGCCTGCTCACCCAACTTAGTGAGACGCTGTCTCAGAATAAATAAGAAATGAAAAGGGTTGGAATGCAGCTCAAAGTACACGTCTTGGCTAATACGTACCAGCCTGTGGGTTCAGTCCTTAGTACAGCCAAATAGATAAGAAACAGAGAGACAGAGCCAGATATAGAGAGAAGGGAGAAAGACGGGGCAGAATGTTTGCAATAGAAATAGAAATGCTATTTGGGTCTACCTGGATACTGCTATAGTTTGGATTTGGAGTGACCCCAAAGTTCACATGTTGACATCTGATTCTCTCTCTCTCTCTCTCTCTCTCTCTCTCTCTCTCTCTGTCTGTCTCTCTCGTCCTGATTTTGCTGTCTTCCACTACCATGAACTGTAGCCCCTTTGCCTTGTGCCACCCTGACTTAGAACCAGCAGACTATGAGTTGAAACCTCCACGACCTGTGAGTTTAATTTTGGGCATTGGATATTTTGTCTCAACAATGATAGAAGTAACTGAGACAGAAATTGGTACCAAGAGTGGGGTCATTGTTATATGGTTCAGAAGCCTTTGGCAATGGCTTGTGAGAAGAGTTTTGAATGGTTGGGAGATGCTAGCTGAAAAAGTAGAGCTGGACCACCTTGGGCTGTACTGTATGGGAGATTCTGGTCAGAGCTCAAAAGATCAGGCTCAGAAGGTTTCTACTAGGAAGGACAGCATTTGCTGTCAGACTCCAGATGATGTGTGTTATGGCTTGGCAGCAAGTTTATTGCATTTTGCCTGAGACTAAGATTAAGGGAAGTAGGCTAATTAATCTTGCAGAAGTAATTTCAAAGCAGTCTAATGTTGAGGTGGTGGCATGGCTATTACTGAGGGCTTTTAGGCAGATCTTTATTGAGAATGAAGAGCAAAGAACCCAGCAGAATGATTTACAGCATTGTGAGTTTGGCTGAAAGGAAGCTCAAGTAAAGCTGTGGACTACAAAGATAGAGCAGAGATCTTAATTACCGAAAAAGAGTGGAAGAATAGAAAAGATGTCTTGAGAGCATCACAAGAAGTGGCAGGACTGTACCCCTTGTAGCCTCATAATTGCAAAACTGAAAGACTTTGCTTTGAGAAGAAATCCCAGGCACCATGATCTAGAATTGTAGTAGCATAGAGCATTTGTTCCTCAGAATTGGATTCAGAACACCCAGTGATTAGGCAGCTGATCCCTACATTCAAGACAGAGGGAAGCCTGGCTACGGCTCCTGCTTTTTTTTTTTTTTTTTTTTTTAATACATATAAAGGAATATACATGAGTCTTTGGGGGGAAGGGGAAGAATGTTATGGTTTGTGTCTAGATGGCCCCTCAAAGTCTCATGCAGTCTTAGACTTTTTTGGAGGTGGGTGAACCTAGAGTTTGTGACTGATTCAAGGTCTAATGCTGGGATTAAGGGTATAAGTGCCACATCACCCCAGGGCAGATAGCCTGCATACATCACAAGGGACAGAAAGGGTCTCTCTCTCTCTCGCTCTCTCTCGCTCTCTCTCTCTCTCTCTCTCTTCTCTCACTCTCTCCCTCTCTCCTCCCCCTTCTCTCTGTTTGTGCTGTTGCTTTTTCTGTCTTCCATCACCATGAACTGTTGCCCCTCTGCCATGTACGACCCTGCCTCAAAGCCAGCAGATTATAGACTGAAACCTCCACAAACTGTGAGCTAAATTCTCAGGTCATCATGTTCTATGCTACCACATGCCCAAGAAGAAACAAGTGACAATGAATTGAAACCTCTGCGACTCAGACCAAAATAAACCTCTCTTTTCCTTTTAAGTTGATTTATCTCAGGTTAAGTTGATTTATCTCTTCGTTATAGCAACACAAAGCTGATTAACACAGATAGTACTTGGAAATGGTTACTCCATAAAAAAGGGTTTTAATATGTTATTTGCTCAAAAACTTTATAAATATGCTATATCTACAATATTGCCTTATTGCAGTGTTAAGAACATATTAATATTAAGGTTGACTTAACTTTCTTCAAAAAACATTTTAAAGACTGTTATTCTTGAAAATTAAGTCATTATTTCCACCGGTATTTTTAGCATAGGAACCATATAATTACATGGTAGCTTTGTGTGTTAGCTAAATTATTCTAGAACAGATTATTGCTAACACAGGGTGGTTTTGAGTTTCAGTAGATGGCAGTTTGCTTACCGCGTGGGCAAAACCTCCAAGGATGCCAAAACAAGCTCCTTCTCCGAGGCTCCCTGTGATCCCGCCGAATCCCTCCACCTCTGGGAGACAGGAGGTGGGCCTCTGGGTGTGCACCAGCGGGAGCAGCCTGCCGCACTGCCCCAGGGCGGGCGAACTCTGAGTGACTCCTCTGGAGGACAAACAGCAGCGTTTGTTAGGCTGTCTCATCGCTCCACTCGCAGCTGTGAGCGATCAGTCACGCTAGGCCAAGGACTGAAGCTCAGAGGACAAGCGACTCTCCCTGTGGGCACCGGGTGATCAGTGTACAGGCTTCCCATCCACTGCCTCCAGGTGGGTCCCGCTGGCCACAGCCTCCGCAGAGGATGAGCTGGGAACACTTAGCTGAAAACAAGAGCACCCCCTCCCCTCCCCTCCCCTCCCCCCTCCCCTCCCCTCCCCTCCCCCTCTCTTACAAAATGCTATTCTTCCTGATTTCAGTCACATTTTTGTTTCTCCTTTTTCCCCATCAATCCACATTCGTCACGCCCAAGCCTATTTCCCGGCTTGGCTTGTGTTAGTACCTCCTTATCCTCCTTGCTTTTGGTTTTATAACCCTGAGAGGCCTATGGAGGCGCTGACCATTTGACCTTATATTCTCTAAATACCGAACTGTACTCAGTCCTCCATCGGAGCTTGCGCTAGCTAGCGCGTCTCCACACGCTGTTCCAGGAGGACAGCGCCGAGGCCCTCAGTTCTTGGGTAAGATACAATTGTTAAACGCTGCTCACTCTTACGAAGTGCAGTTTTCTCCCAGATTATTTTCCTGAGGCACTTTTCCCGTTGCCTCTCCGGGAGCTCCTCGGCCTCCGTGTTGGGTTCGCGCAGGGTCCCATGGACAGCGGCGGCCTCTCTGGGGGTCAGCCAGTCCAAGTCGGCCACGCACGCGAGGTAGTGGTGCTTCCAAGCACCGTACTCCTTGTCTGCTGGAGTGTAGGGCAGGAACCAGCCAAACCTGACGCACTTGGGCATCCACAAGCAGTCCTTCAGCAGAAGAAAGGCACATGAGTTTTCCAGCAACAAAGTTTTCAGGTGCACAGGAATTTTCTGTAACACCGCAGTCTCTGCAGTTGACTCCTGCATGGACTAGACATACAAACTTGACACTGAAAATATTAAATACAAGGTGCTCCAAGGAAAAATAGCCTTCTGTGACCATGTGTCATGTGAATGGTGTAGATTATGAGTGTGCCCACCGGACTAAGAAACACCAGCTGACTGGGTCAGCACAGCTCTGGGCGTGGCTGCGAGACCCTGAAAACAGGTGACCTCCGCGTAGTGTGTGGCTGACAGGGTGGGGGCTGAACGGGACAAAAGGGGAAAAGATGGAAGGCTGGTTTCTGTGCCTTCCACGGAGCTCCAGGCTTCACCTTCACCTTGGACACCGTCCCGTGGCTCCAGGGCACACACTGCAGCGTCCTGATTTGGATTCACCCAGGACACTGTGGTAAGCACCAGGCCTCTGTCTGTGTCCCTGGGACCTGCGGCACACACAGCCCTTTCCCGCTCTTCCACCCTGACTGCAGGCGGCCACTGAAAGCCAGCCTTGTAAATCCCTCCATGCTTGTTTATCTTGCATTAAATCTGGCTCTCTAGTAAGCACTGACTGGTACATGAATACATGCATCAGTTACCTTTGTACTTATCCAGTGTTTCCATAGCCCTGGATTATTTGTGTTTTGTTTTGTTTCGTTTTGTTTCCCTTTTTCAAGACAGGGTTTTGCCATACAGTCCAGGCTGGTCTTGAACTCACTTTGTAGTACAAGCTGGTCTTGAACTCTCAACAATCTTCCTGCCTCAGCCTCCCGAGTACTGGGATTATAGATGTGTGTCAGCACGCCCGGCCAGCGTTGGGTTATTTAAACCGTAGCTTCTGAGAATTCAGTTGCTAGCAGTGGTATGAGTAGTTTGTCTCCTCCCACTGAGAACAATTTTGGTTGAACTATATGATGTTGTCAGTATGCAGCCACTTTTAACATATGAAACCAATAAATTACATGGAATTCTGTTAAAATAACTATTAAAAATAACAATGACCGGCTAGGGATTTAGCTTAGCAGTATAAGCCTGGGAAGCGTGAGATCGTGAGTTCGATCCCTAGTACAAGAAGAAAAGAAAACTAACTGACTGGAAGCTACCAATGATGCAAGGACCTACGCCCAGGTGCACCTAATATTTGGCATCTACCGTTCAGTCAGGCAGGAGCCAGTTCCCAAGCAGAGTTTGTGAGGCCCAGAAGCAGAGCAGAAAAGGGCGGCTGAAGTTCAGGCTCGGACACCACGAAGGATTTTTAGCACCTCGGAGAAGAAAGGACACAAACCAACAGGCAGGGCCCAGTAAAGCAAAGACCCCTGGCAACCACAGCCTTTCAGCCGAGAACCTTTTTTGCGGAGAATGACGCTGAGTCAGAACAGCCATCACGAGGACTGAGGGCAGCTTGGAAACCCTCATTCCCTGCTGGACTTGCACAGTCTGCTCCCAGCTTCACCAAACATCAGAAGCAGAAGGAAATGCCCTCTGCAGGAAGAGACTCAAGTGACCACATCATGTTTAGACATGTTTAGACTCCCGATCCCCAAAAATCAGAATACAAAAAAAAAATGACAAATAGTCTTTTTGTTTTTAGTAATCACAGGGAGACCCTCAGGAGTCCAAACTTTGCAGTTATAAAACAAAGACTTTGTAAAGACACGCTATAATTAATTTGTCCAAAAATATGAATGACCAAGCTGGATGTGATAGTACATGCCTATAAGCTAAGTACTCTGGGAGACTGAGGCAGTAAGACGCCAAGTTTGAACCAAGCTTGGGGGCAACTTCTCCACTTAGTAGAAACCTTGTCAAAAGAAGTAAATGAATGAAAGGGTGCTGAAGGGCCTGAGTTCAATTCCCAGTACTAAAAAAAGAAAAGGAACATACATGACCAAGTAGAAAATTTTAGCAAAAAGAGGCAAAATAACTTTGTTTTTTTTTGGTTTTTTTTTTTTTTTTTTTGAGTCAGAGTCTGGCTATCTAGTGCAGGCTGGCCTCAAACTCATAGCAACCCTTTTCCCTCCCTGGTAAGCAGCGGCAGTGTGGCCCACTGCAGCCCTTCCAGGGGGAGAACCAGCAGTGTTTCCTGAGATCCACGCTGTGTTGGAACTTAAGACTCTGGGAAGCCAAGCCAGCACCTCCCCTCCCTGGTAAGCAGAGGTGGGGTGGCAGACTGCAGCCCTTCCAGGGGGAGAACCAGCAATATCTCCTGAGCTCCGCGCCATGTTGGAACTGAGGACGCTGTGAAAACAAATGACCATCCTGCCTCCTTGCTTAGCAATAGTGAACCTACTGCTACATGGCCTAGAGTCAATTATCCCACTTCCCCTTTCCTCCTTCCCCTCCTCCTCCCCGCCCATTAGCATGTGGGAACCAGAAATCTGAGCATCTCCTGGGAGACTGAACATAGCAAATAAGGGGGACTTCCTTCTACCATTTCTTTGAAGGCAAATATTTTTATTACTGTTTTGCTCTTTTCTGATTAATGGTACTGCTCTATTCAATATCCTGTTTTGATAAGTTCTATAGAGTTCTATATTTCATCTCACTTTGATATATGTGATTGAAAGAACAACTATTATGAAGATACCAAAATATACTGTGATACCTATTACTGTTATCCCGGTAACCTGCTGTGAAGTTCTGTACCAATTTCACTGTACGATCTTAGTTGGCTTTATTCTGACTTGTTCTGTTGTATACTTTCAAAATTAAAAAATAAATAAATAAAACCTCATAGCAACCCTTTTGCCTCAGCCTCTCAATTGCTGGAGTTACAGGTGTGCACCACCAAATCCAGCCACACATCCAAATTTTAAAGTTGAAAAATAAAATTTGAAAAATATATAAAAATAAAACTGAAATTTGAAGTTCAATGACTTGGTTTAAGAGGAGATTAGAATACAGCAAAATAAGTGATAAACAGGAGCAAAAAAAAAAAAGAAAAGAAAAAGAAAAATCCAGACTGAAACATTTAAAGCTAAAAAGATTGAAACCCCATATACAAAAAAGATGGAACTTAGGCGATAGAATAAAGTAGTCTAATAAGTACTGGAATCCCAGAGAAAAAGAACGTGAATAGAGAAGGAGCCATTTAAACCAATAATATCTGAAAATTGCTCAAAACTGATGAGTGATGTTAAATTTTAGCTTAAAAATAGCACTGCAAAAACACAAAACAGGATAAACATACATGTACAAACACACATGTTCACCAACGTACATGATGATAATAAAGTTGCTAAAAAACTAAAGGCAGAGAAAAGGTCTGAAAAGCTGCTAGAGACAGGAGCAGTAACAAAACTTGTGACTACCTAGAAAAGAACGGTGGAAGCCCAAGACAATGGAATATTTTCAAAGTTCTTAACTACCAACTCGGAATTCAGATTCCCAGTGAGAATACCCTTCAAATGTGAAGGTCAAATAAAAATCTTTTTAGACAAACTGTAACTGAAAGAATTCATCAGCAGCAGACCTGTACTAAAAGAAATATTAAAGAGAACTCAGAGAAACGATCGCAAAGCGAAACTCAGACATGCAAGACAGTAAGAAAAGCAACAGGAAAATATAAATATGTGGTTACACATAATAAATATCAACTGTATAAAAAATAGTAATCGGGCTGGGGGTTTAGCTTAGTGGCATAAGCCGCTGCCTAGCAAGCTCGAGGTCATGAGTTCGATCCCTGGTCAAAAACAAAACAATAGTAATCAACTTTTGTGAAATACGCATGATTGGGTAATACATATGTATTAAATGCATGTGTGTGTGTTTCTTTATATATAGTCACTATAGGACTTGAGCATTCTTGGATTTTGTGGTCTAGAAAAAGCAGCACAGGTTAGAGTCAGTGACCATGGATGGCCCCAAGACGGGCCTGGGATATAGCTCAGTGGCCAGCACCTGCCTGGCAAGTGCGAGGTCCCAGTGCAAAACAAAATTCAAAAGTGGCAAAAATGGGGCCGGGGATTTAGCTCAGCGGCATGAGAATCTGCCTTGCAAGTGTGTGGTAGTGAGTTCGAGCCTTGGTACTGATTAAAGAAAAAAAAAAAAAAAGAAGAAGAAGAAATGTGGCAAAAATGTTAAAAAAAAAAAAGAAATTACCATAGCATATTCCCTGTAGAAGACATACTTTACATATAAAGACACAGAAAAGTTAAAAGTAAAAAGACAAAATGAATCAGTCAGTCCATCCATCCTTGCGAGCACCTCAGCCCACAGCCGTGGTCCCTGAGACCCGAATCTCTGCACTGCCCATCCGGAAATTATGTGTGATCTAAAATGCAGATGATGGCCTTGCATCTAAAAATGCCTAGCATTACACCGGATTAAAGCTTTGAAAAGCAAAGGAAGAGACCACTGGGGCAGAGGCAGAATTCACGAAGATGCAGGCTTGGAGCTGCTGGCCAAGGGCTCCGAACTGCAGCGGGGTCCCAGCTCTAAGCTCCCTCACTCCCACTCGCAGTCAGCCAAACTGGACCAGGACCTGCGGGCAGGGCAGGCAGCCTTCCAGGCCGAGTCGTCAGCGACCAGAAGGTCCTAGAAATCCTGAAGCTTAAGTCATTCTCATGAACAACAGCAGATTAATCAAGATGAATGTTTTCTAAAAAATTGCAGGATCCCCACCCCGCCCGCTGCACTGCGGGCCCTTCCTCCCTCTCTCATTCCCTTCCTTCTCTCTCTCTCTGTCTCTCTCTTTTTCTGGTACTGGGGATTGATATGAGGATTGAACCTAGGGCCTTTACACTGAGCTAAATCAAACTTTTTATTTATTTACTTTTATTTGAGACAGGGTTTCGCCAAATCACTAAATTACTCAGGCGGGACTTTGACTTGCAGGCATCCTGTCTCAGCCTCCTGAACAGCCAGGATTTGCAGGAATGTACCCGGTATCAGGAATCACTGGAATAGTGTATATCTCCGTAACTGAAAAATGAATCAGTATATTTCACTTACCCACATGTTTTCACTTAGGAGGGACTTACGGCCCTCTGTCTTCCGGGAAGAGAGCACCCCCCTCCTTCCTGCAGGTCACCACTGCCTCTGTGGCCTGCCCTCAGGCAGTGACAATCACCACCAACCTGTTCAGTGAGAAACCTCCAGGGCCAGCTGACTTGGGCGGCTGCACACAAATCTTTGGGATTCAGGAAGGAGAAGATATACAGAGAAATGCGGCGTGGTAGCACAGTAGAGAAATCCACTCTGGCCATTGGCTTCTTTTCTGAAAACCAGTCTTGGACGAACCTAAAAAAGGAAGACACAGAAATATGTTTCAGAGTGCTAACAGTCAGTTACCAAAAAAATGTACTTTTATCTGACTACATCTACATAGTTATACGGTTTCTGTTTCTGTTTTGTGGTCGGGACGGACCAGGGACCTCAAGCCTGCTAGGCAGGCACTCCGGTGCTGAGCTGCATGCCAGGCATTTTCACTGTATTTTAAGACTTGCTAAGCTTCCAGGCTGGCCTCCAGCTTCTGGTTCTCCTGCCTCAACCTTCCCAGGAACTGGGATTTTAGGTGCCTGCCACCATGCCTGGCTTATATCTACATATGTTGTATACATCACGATACACTGTTTTGTTTTAGAGTCAGACGATTTTAAAATAATTCACAAGTTACTTTCCCCCACACATTCATTTACCATTTCCTATGTTCTTTATTCCTGTTTATAAATCTAAGTTTCCATCTAGCATCAGTTCCCTTAGCCTAAAAAACTTTCCTTAGTATTTCTTTTGTGCAAGTTTTCTAACAATGAATTTAGTCAGCTGCCTTTATCTGAAAGTGTCTTTCATTTGCATTTTAGTGTTTATGGTACCATTATGACCTCATAAATTTATTTCAGTTTTGGGGACCTTTTTGAGACATAGTCTGTGTAATTCAGGTTGGCTTGGAATTCACTGTGTAGCCCAAGCTGGCCTTGAATTTTTGGGGATCCTCCTGCCTCAACCTCTCAAGTGCTGGGATTACAGGCGTGCCTTACCAGGCCCTGATTTGATTTCAATATTTATCAACTTGTAACTATTCTGGTTTCTACCATCCCACCTTCTTCCTCCTCCGCCGCCTCTTCTTCCCATACCTGGTTGTCATTTTAAAGCAGATTCCAAACCTTAAATTGTCTCATCAGTAAATATTTCAGTATGAGTCACTAAACAACAAGGAAAAATTTAAAACCTACTATATGATACCATCTTCTCCTTTAAAACTTCAACAGTTCTGAAAGGAAATAGCCTTTTCATAACAACACCCTTCAAGGCTGTTTCCCATACTGCATCACTTGCCAAAAGCATGGGTGGATCTTGAAGGGCACAGAACCCAAGGTCACCCATGGTCAGAACCAACAGGCATTTCATAGACCATCCAAAAAAGGCACAGTTAATCTGCACCAACTAAAATAACTACACAAATAAGTAAACCTTAACACCAGACTATCCTCTTTATCTTTAGGATAAATATCTTTTGTAGTCCCAAACCATCAAACAGGTGGTCACGCCTGAGTAACACCTGCCGGGTAAGAAGGCGGCAGTGAATCCAGATTTGCCCTGGAGCCTTTCATTCCTTCACCCCGGACCCGTACGGCCAGTCCCACAGCTGCCTGGACATTGGCTCAAGTTCTACCAAAACTCACTTTATGTCAGTCCTTTGAGACCACAGAACTTTCTTCCTCTGGCAGGTGGCTACTGCTGTCCAGTGTTCCTGAGTCCCAGTGGGCATGAACTTAGAAAAGGCATGGCTGAACAGATCTCATCATACTATGGGTTTTCTAGTTTTTCTCCTCTCTCTCGCGTGCGCTCTCTCTTTGTCTCTCTCTGTCTCTCTGTCTCTCTGTCTCTCTGTCTCTCTCTCTCCCCCTGTCTCTCTCTCTCTCTTCTCTCTCTCTCTCTCTCTCTCTCTCTCTCTCTCTCTCTCTCTCTCTCTCTCTCTGAGACAGGGTCTTGCTCTGTAGCCCAGGCTGGCCTTGAATTCTTAGTGATCCTCCTGCCTCAGCTTCCCGAGTGCTGGGATTACAAGTATGTGCCATCACACCCAGCTCTTCTGGTTTCATGTAAAATGAAAATGGCATTTCTAATAAAGAACAAAAAGACCTTAGCCTCCTTTCTCAATAGGTTGCTAAGCACCCATTAGAACCAAAGATAGTCTTGACCACTACTTTACCCAAACTGCCGGCTTAAACTGGAGCATCAGTTTCAATCCTCATAATTTAAAAACATGAAGACAGGCAAATCCAGCTGAGCATGATGAAAACTGCTGACAATCCACAGCACTGGAGCCTCCATGGCACCGCTAGCCAGAGTGTACTGTCTTGAGACAAAGATTTACCTAAACAGACTAATTGTCAGTGAACTTGTAAAAGTAGGATTATGCCCCTGACACCAGGCAGGCTTGAAATATTAGGATACCTCCTTCTGAATCTGATGTGATATCCTAATGTATGTGAGCTCAAACTTTACACTTAGTCTTCATGTTTATATAAAATGAAAGAAAAAAGCTTGCATTAAAAAAAAATCAGTGAACTACAAGGTGATGCTCAGATGAATTCAACCACCATAAAGAATGCAATCGGGGGCTGGGGATTTAGCTCAGCGGCATAAGCACCTGCCTTGCAAGCAGGCGGTCATGAGTTCGATCCCTGGTACCGATAAAAAAAAAAAAAGAATGCAATCGGATTACTGGGTGAGACTCTTACCCACAAAGCCTGTATGATTTATAAACTATGCCAGACTTGAAGACCTCTGTAAGTCTAGGTGTTCCAAGTGTGCCCAATTATTGGAAGGTTGTATATCCTCCCTCTTCTATGGTAGAACTACTTTGGCATCTAGGAATTGGTGAATAGTGAAGAAGAGAATTTGTGGAGGGGTGGTAGCTGTCACCATGTTCTCAAGTAGAGCTCATCTAAAAAGGCACGGAAATCCCTCTGTTCTTTTTCAGGACTGGCTTGACCTCCTCTGTGGACAGGTAGTTGGCCATGTTCTGACTGAAGGCACTAGGCAGGCATGAATGTGGACACCGACTTTGTCTCTTCTCTCCTTGGAGGTCACGCACAATTGTAAAACAGTAACCCTAACATTCCTGGGGAGCTTAGATTCTAAAACGCAGTCTGGTTCATCCTGGTGGGGAGACAATGGGCCATGACTAATGGGCAAGGAGGTAGAGTCAGTGAGGTTGAAGAGGGGTACAAAAACCTCCTTTCCTGCACAGATACGGACTGTGCACCCCCAGCCCTGCCTTCCATCACTTTCTCAGTGTTGGCTGTTCTCAGCTTGGCCCACCTACATGAGATTTCACTGACACCACTTGAGAACAAAATCATGCTTAGAATTCAGTGCCAGGTACAGAAAACACAAAGAATTACATTCAGCAAGCCTCATGTTCCAGGGGTTGGGTGGAGAAGAGACCTGGCCAGATACCCCTTGGCACAGGCTTTGCAGAGCGCTCTCCTGGCAGATCTGGTTTAGCTCAACAGAAGAACAGCCAATGAGACCCAACATTCCTGTCCAACAGGGCAGCTGCTGTACTAAGGAGCCACCACGACCACTAACCCTAACCTAGCCCTGCTCCTCTTCCACACGCCACAGCCATATAGAAGGTTATGGGTACAGCGCCTTTCTCTGCTCACATTCCCGTATTGATTGAGGTCTGTGCAGCCATCTCCTGAATACTGCTCCGTTCATAAGGGTCCTCTCAATGAATTCTATGTATTGGTGCATTATGTGCAACCCTGTGTGTGTGTCATGTAACCCTTTTACATGCCAGGAGACAATACACGCACACAGCAGGCACTCAGTAAATGTTGAATAAATGTATGACAGAAAAATAATTATGAAATCCTTTCTATCATCTGCTAAGGAGAAACCAGTGTTCAAAAGCTCATATCCTAGGTTTTTACTGTGCAAATTATAGAACTGAAAGAATTATAAAATTGAGAGACTCTGACATTTATTTGCACAGGAACTCAAGACTTTTATCAGAGTTGAAATTCAAAACAAAGTTGTATTCACTTAGATTGTTTTAACTTTCTTTTTTAAAAGATTATTACTGTTGGGGCTGGAGATTTAGCTCAGCGGCATAAGCGCCTGCCTTGCAAGCAGGCAGTCGTGAGTTTGATCCCTGGTACCGATAAAAAGGAAAAAGACAAAAAAAGAAAAAAAAAAGATTATTACTGTTGGAAGAAATCTAGTTCTTTGCCCTTCTTACGTGGCAACCTCTGATACAAGAATAAATCTCTTCCCCTGTAGAGCTTCATTGATGCACTATATCTTGTGACTCATTTATTGCTACTTTTGCTATCCCGGTGGGCCACTCTGAAATGCCAGTCACTCCTTCTATTGGATAACAGGTACAGGTCAGAATCAGAACTGCTGGTTCCTGGTGGATAGGGTTCTCTCAGCCAGGGATAAGTAGAGTAGAAACTAAGGGTCATCAGAGGAGCTGCCTCTTGGGAAGTTTAAAGTAATACAAGACAAGGGAAAAGTGAGTAATTATGGAAGGATATGAAATCCGAGAATAATAGGTGATCCTGGCCTGGACCATGCAGGACATTGCGGGAGCAGTAGGGACTGAGGGTAGCAACAGGGTGGCAGCTGATCGGGTCCTGCAGCAGGGTCCTTTTTGCTGGGAAACACACTGACCTGCTTACTGTTAAGGAGCACCATGCTGGCAGCTTACTCTCTCATGATTCAGAACAATAAGGCAACACTGGTAAGATGTTACCAACTGCATGGTAAATGACCTCACAGAGGAATCGAGGTGGAAGGAAGGAATCATTTGTACTATGCTTTTTTTTTTTTGGTCTAAGACAGAGTTTTGCTCTGTATTTCAGACTGGCCTTGAACTCATTTTGTAGCCCAGGAAGGCATCAAATTTGCAGCGACCCTCCTGCCTCAGCCTCCCAAATGCTGGAATTACAGGCATGTCCACCACGCCCCACTGCTGTACTGTGCTGGCAACTTTCCTGTACGTTAGACACTATTGCAAAACAAGATATTTTAAAAGTAGAAAGTCTCTGATTCAGTTCCACAGTATTGTTAGTATATTTTGTGTGTACTTACTCTCCTAAAGCCTGTCTTAAGTCACTGTTCATGTGTTTGTATGTGTTCATGTATATGTGTGTGAACTCAGGAACTTCATAACTAAACTACAGCCCCAGCCCTTTAGTTTTGATTTTGAAACAATATCTAACTTAGTTGCCGAGGCTGAATTCAACCATGTAATCCTCCTGCTCAGCCTCTGTCTATGTAGCCTTTTT